CCCTAACCCAAATAATAATCATAATAACTGACAATATTTGTTTCCATCTACTTTAACTTGCAAATATTGGTCAAAAATATATTTTTGTAGATTGGAAACATGGAACCTAACATGGATCAAGAATAAGCCAGCATAGACTAACATGTTTAGCTTTGCTGCATGTGCATAAAGATATTATTGTATCCATTGATGAAACAATCAACAAATTTGCCAAAATAAAAAAAAGAAATTTGGAATTTGTTATTTGACTACTTACCAACCTTATGTTTTTTACTTAGATATGTGTTAAATTAAGTTACTTATCTTAAATGTTTTTTAAAGCTTTTAAAAAATAATTAATAGTTACTATTACTATTATGATTATTTGTTTTTATTTTTTTTTTATACAGGATTCAGACTGAAGATACAATTTTAATATAGGAACTATTTGTGTTATTATTAATACTTATTTTATATGCAGTAGGTTTTAAATACAGTGCCGGATTACCCATTAGGCAGAGTAGGCGTCCGCCTTAGGGCCTCACTCATTTAAGGGGCTCTGTGACTAACCCATACAGGACAAAAGTCATTATGAAATTTATTAAATATTAAGTTTTAGGTGTTATGTGCAGTAATAATAACAACATTATTTTGAAAAAAAATAGAAATAATATAATAATTCATTAATTTTTCTTATAAATAAAAAAATTTAATAAACATGATTTATTTATTAATAATATTTGGTTATTATTAAAGCTATTTATTTTAATTATTGGATTGTAATGTTAAAGATGTATGTAAAAAATAATTTTGTAGGGCCCAAAATTTTAATAGCCTAGAGGCCCACAAATGTTTAATCCGGCACTGTTTAAATATATTTATTAAATAAATATTAAATTCAATTTGGTACTTGTATTTTTATTTATTCACTCGAATGAGCAATAGGAACATGAGCTGTAGGTAATGAACCAGGGGCGTACCCAGGAATTTTTTAGGGAGGAAGGTTCAACATTTTTATTTTATCTATTCTCTAATTATAATTATAGTTTAATTCAATACCAACAAATTACTGTTAATAACTATAGTAATAGTCACAATAGTTATACACACATCATACATATTCTACATAAAGGTTTACTATAATAGGTAGGTACTATAATTTGAAATCAATTTTTATTTGGTAGTAAAATGTTATAAAAAATACATTATTTAATTAACAATAATAAATAATATAAAATTAGTTTCCCTCCCTAACCTAACCCTCCCCCCTCCATGGCCTCAACTAAAATACGCCCTTAGCCCCATTGGAAATTTCAACATTTTTCGGAGATCATCATAATTCGAAACAAATATTTTTAATACATATAGGCAATAATGTATACAATTTAATAATGTAAACAATTTCAGTAAACGGTATAAGAGGCATCTCATAATAACGTTTAATATTGAAAACTTAAAAAACAGAAAATTAAGTTAACCCGGATCGGCGGTAATGGACAGACTTTCGTCGGCGTGTAATTGACACATTCCGTGTATTATTTCAAAATTAAATAAGAAAAAAAGTAACCTTATCCTACGAAAATTCCAAAATCCTTTTTTACGATTTGGCTTTTCTTCTATGCACCGAAGTATCTAATCCTTTTACAGATTTAATGTTCATCGCACCTGAAGATCAAAAAATTTACCATTTTTTTTTATTACAATTTAAAACAATGTTCTTTTCAGATACTTCTCCAAGGGGGTAATCCCCATGGAGAAAAATTTAAAAAATAGTAAAGAAATATCAAATTTTAGAAAAATATAATTTTATTAAGATTATATTTATTTTATATTTTATTCTATCGATTATTTACGATTGTAAATATTTTTAAATATTTATATAAAATATTAATTTTAGTGCAAATGATATGTCATTTTTACATCTTTTGAGTTTCTGTAATTTAGCTACCCATTCAAACTTAAAGATATAAGTGACAAAATATACTTGGTAATCAGTGCCGCAAAAAACCGGATGAGCAACGTGTGCATTGTACGCAGGTGCCAGGCCTCGTACTATATTATGAGTCCTCAAAAGGTCGAATTATCAAAAATGTACAACTATAAGGGGCTTCAAGATTTTGATCTACACACGGCCTCTGGTAGTTCAGTTACGACACTGTTAGAAACCAGTATATCTACTTCCACCGATAAAAACCAATGTATTTTATCATCGATTTAAACATTTTTGTTTGACTATGGGCCAAATAAAATTTGTCCACAGACATTTGATGACCACTAGTTTACACCTCGTTGAAAATTAAAAATTAATTTTTTTTTCATCGCACCTTACATTTTTTTTTTTTTTTTCAATACATTAAGAATATAATTTACGTATAGTTCCTGTCATTATTAATATCTTAAGACCAAGCCTTGTCGTTGAAACCAATTTTTCTTATCAGTTGCTACTCTTTTAATTTCAATCGATGATACAGTGCAGCATGTTCTAGATGTACTGAAAATATTGTTTTCGATAGTGTCCTACTTAGTTTCTTTCCATGCACTATAGTATATATATATACATAAGTCATATATAACTTCAAAAATATTTTTAATGAAGTAATTATGCCTCAAAATGTGTCCTATTCATTTTATTATTCTTGTTTAATTTAATGACTTTTATCAGAAAGAATATGTAGTTCCAATATGATTAATAAATTAAACTATTATTATACGTGTACATTCGATTTAAAACAAAAAAATCATTTTCAAAGTAAAAATCTATAATATTATTTAAAATGAAATCATATTATACCCTCCCTAAAATGTAATTATTAATTACAGTTGAGGTGGGGCATAATTATTTATCAATTACTAATTAATAAATAATTTATTTTTATTTTTACTTTAACCATTAAGCCGAAATGATTGATCTATAAAATGAATAAGGCTAGTAGTTCAATACAAAGCCTATGCAGTTTTAACCGGGGGTGCCATTTAGGATTTTAATAATAACCACGCTTGGTAACTAATATTATAAAGGTGTAGAACACGATTGGGTACATTTGTCCTTTTTGGCAACACGATTACGTATGAAATTGTAAGCAACGTTGTCATTTTTGTAATAGTAAGAATATTTAGAGATCAACAAAAAAAAAACATAAACAATAAACATGAACATAAATAAACATAATACATATTTCTATAATTCATAAAAAAATTAATAATAAATAAAATGAGGATAACTAAGTACAATAAAGTAATTAATAAATAAATAAAATAGACAGTTTTTATTTTAAAAATATTTTTGTTAATAAATTATTAGAAAATGCTTAAATTTGGATTCCCTGACATCTATAACCTACTACTTTTATTGAAACTCGGAAAATACCGTATAATATAACGGAGATAACAAAATTTCGTTGTATCTGATATATTTGATATCATTAACAATAAACATAGCTAATAAAAGCGATAAAACACAAAGTATTTATTAACTTTTTCAAGTTCACTCGTATAGGCATGTGCTACACCAATACCGGTATGAAAATTGGCATCAATGCTTAAAACTTTGTACGCAAACGTGTTTTACCCTTAAGAATGTTTTCATCATAATCCCTAACATATATATTGTAATATTATTTATATAGTCACACAGATATTTGTAATATCTATAATAAATTATAATAAATTTATAATATAGACGTCTGTGGTCATATATTATTTCCTCTCTAAACAATCTAAACATATATATTAATTAAAATTAATACAACTCAAATTAAATATAAGTAAGAAGAGATAAATATGTAAATATTATACGCACATCCTATTTTTACATTACTACAGAATGGTTTCATGGAAGCCATAGCACGTAAAATTTTTGCCATAGGACGTATCCTGGAACATTTTATTATAATAATAATTTATTCTTTGGGCCAAGTTTTTAAAATTTTTTTTCTTTCTTTGTTTACAATAATTTTGGTCTTATTCATCACTGAGGAAATCTCTTACTGGTGATGGCTAGAAAGAAGTTAGAAGAAGCTAATATGAACACTTAAATGTAATAATTATATAATTGTTAATATATGTAATTGAGTGTATTTCTAGATAATATAATTTTGATTAACAAAAATGAAGTAGGTAAAACAAAATTGAATTTAAAAATATAAATTTTCATCAATAAAGAAAAAAATGTTTTTCTTTTCCTTTCTTGATTTTTTCTGATTTGAAACCATGTACCTAACTATGCAATTCAAAACTTACTCATAGAGCTTAATGCATGTATAATAAATATTTAACTAAAATCAAGTATTAGGGCTGATCATGTTGAAAGAACAACAGTCAAATTTATCAGGATTAACATTACCTGTGTTAGGAGACATTGTATTAAAGTATAACCAGAAATTTTTATGTGCTAAATTTCAAGAAAACGGCACCACCTACACGAAGAACTGCGTCTGCTCTAGGCTTTCATTTTAATCCTCTGCATTTTTCCCTAAACTCGGTACCCTGAACAGCGAAGATTTCTTTCAACAAGTTATTATTGTAGTTCGGACGTGTGACGCGAAAACGCGGTGAGTCCGAGGGGCAGGAAAAACATAACCTGAAAACAACACGCGTTTTCTCACCGCTGGTTGGGTGGGGGCGGGAGAAGAGTGAAAACGCTAAAAGGTCATGAGCAACGCATGGCGCCCGCCTAGATGGCGGCACCGATCGCGAAGCAACGAAGGCCGTGCTGATCAGAACACGATTATATAAAACACGGTATTGCGCACCGGAATAATTGCACGCGGATGTCGGTCGGGTGATCAGCAGGCGGCGTCGTTCGCGAGGGGTTGAGCGCCGGACCGGTAGGAGGTAACCAGCGTGGTAGCTCGGTAGCGAGTGGCAACGGACACGCGTTACAAACATAACCTTTAACTCGCTAGGTTATCCGTTTGTTTACGTTTCGTTTTATTTTATTTTTTTGCACCGTTTTGCTCCTCGTTCAAGCGCACTGTCTCCCTCTCTACGAGACCCGATCACTTGCTCGCACGCAAAACCCAACTGGCTGGTGCACGCGCTCGTTGTCGCCCCTTCCCTCCTCCCCGCGCTCTCCGTCGACGGGTATCCCCTCTCCCGCTGCCGACGATGCGACGCCCCGCCGACCGGACGTGCGGACGTACGTCGAGCCGGCGCGACGCAAAACGCGATCAGTCTCGTGCGGTGGCGATGCGGCGAACCGATCATTCGTTATTGCGAAGCGCCCGCACCCGTTCCGTTCCGATCGTACCGCTGCGGCCATCACCACCGCCACCACCACCGTAACAAGGCACGACTGAGTCCCCGTTTGGGTTTCACTGCAGGTAAGTACGTTTCCGCGCGCGTGTAGTCGCTAGATTCGCCCGGCCGCCGTACCGGCGTCACGTGCGTGCCGGATGCTAGGGTCAACGGACCCATGACGCCCTCCGCGCCAACCCCCTCGTGCGTCGCTTTGATAACGTGATAAAAACCCCGTGCGCTGGACGCAGTCGTCCGTTATCGCGGCCAATTTTTTTCGTCCTCTCCCGTTCCCGCAAGAACGCGCAATGCCGCGCGGGGCGCCGTTTTTTACCGGTCCGGTGAGCGTTGCGCAACCGAACTCCTGTATTGTTGACGCGCGATCGGGCCGGAAACGCAACGGCCGAATTTCGTTCATGGTTCCCACGTGCCGCCGCCGCCACACACCACGCGGTCGACGGACCAGTTCTGCCATCATGCGCGTTTCCATTTGGGCGCTTGTAAATTGCACCCACATTAAGTAGGTAGTAAAAGTACAATAGTAAATTGCGACCGGAATATTTTTGGTTCTAAAATAGGTGTAGTAAATTGCGCCCATAGTATCTACTGTCTAAGTAACCTCATATTTATAATTTTACGGATAAAATATTAGAGTTACAATCTAAAATTTATATAAAAATTAATAGTTTAAATGAACCTTAAAGGTTCATATATCTTATTTTTTCCACATTCGAAAACACCAAATAAAAAAAAAAATTTCAAAAAATAGAAAAAATTATTCAACAATACATTGAAAACACTATTACGAGGGCTGAATATATGAAGATGATATCTTATTACTATGCAGATAACTTATTACAGTAATTTTTTTTATTAACATTTTTAACCTAACAAAAAATATTTAAAAAATTATAATTAATACCATAATATTTAAAAAAAAAAAATAATTTTCCTATTTTTATTAATTAATTTATTTGTTTGAAGTAAACCAAAAAAAAAACATTTTTGGAGGGCAGTGATAGTCGCCACCTCGTGATGTCCTCTGGGTAATACTATATGATTTTCATAAAAATAATAATTCTATTGGGCGTAATTTACTATACAAAAATTTGTGCCTGAAAAATACCGGGTGCAATTTACTACACAAAAATTTATACCTGAAAAATACCGGGCGTAATTTACAATTGTTTCCCTTCGTTGAACGCAGTTTACATTTGCCCTTCCATTTGTTCGAAAAACGGATTAGCTGTCGTTGGATTGATATAACACACTTGTGCAACATGATGCGCGGGGGCGTGCAATTGGTGCAATTTCAAACCCGTCAATATGTAACGTCAGCGCACGTTGTAGTTATACAACAAATGGGTGATATTGTACCATCGTTGTTTCATCCGACAACTGTCGACCCGTCCCTCTCGTTCGGGTCCAGCTTTACCGAAAACTTTTATTATGAAATTCTTGCTCCTACGAACATTTTCACTTTTTTTGACTGAAATTATAATAATATTGTCACGGGTTATCTTTAGAAAAGTACCGACGGATGACGATTTATTTTTTTTCCTCCCCTAAACACATGAAATATATCTGTACAACAACGGTGAAGAAATGATGACATAATTCCATGGATTGAGTCACTCGCATGCCAATATCGATTTTATGAAATATATTTTCCCGATTTACATTGTATTGCTCGTGGTTACTCGTATATCATAAATCCGAATAAATAAAAATGTGTTGTGTTGTTTTTCTACCATATATTTTACTAAAACGACTTATTGGCCATTATTTTTCCTTTCTGAATTAATCCGCTAAAATATTTAATCCCATAGTTCTCTGATGGAAAATCACTTTTATTTTTCAATCTAATATTTAAATCGAGATTCTTCCAATCGTCAAATTTAAATTAGAAAAATCATATAAAAATTATTCAAATTCTACTTAGAAAAAAGTTTATATTTTCCGTTTCTTTACGTTTAAATCATATTAAAAACACCGCTGGTGTGAAATAATAAAATAAAATATAGAATCTACATACGATTTACAGAAAATAAATCGTAGAACTACGTTGCATTGTTCTGTTTAAACGATAGTGTTAGAAGGGACTGTTCGACATTTTTGTTCGTTAACACAATGAAACGTAATATTTTCACATGTGAACTATGAATGACATGCTCAATTGAAAGCAGAAGAAAATATGTGCTATTGTAAATTGATATTAATAGAGATAATGTAGTGGGAGAGTCATGAAATGTGTTTAAGGTTACTGTTTTCGGATTAAGAGAATATAACTTATTCTTATTTAATAAATTAATCGTGTTGTACGTAAAGAAGGTTCAAAAGATCATTCACTTTAATCGATTTGAGTTTAAATTTCTGTATAATTTCAACAACAAAATGTAATACACATGTTTAGTGTATTTCAAAGTATAGACATTTCTTTACAAATACATTTTTTCATATTGTTACATAAGTGGAAAGTACGTTTATGTTTTCGGTAAATATTTTGTGCATCAAAATGAAAGGTGTAATTTTAAATTGAAGCACTTTAATTTTCTACTTTATTTTTTATTCAATGCATGGACAATTGTGTGTATTGGATTCGAAGTAAAGTTGTAGGGCTTGAGTACTTTGAATAATTATAAAAAATTCAGAAAACCTGTACTGTATTAACACTATATAATGAATAACAGTCATCGGAACTGCAAATCGAAAGAAATTTAATATAAAAAAAAAAGAATTATCGTTTTTGGACAACGTTATAATAATTTATAATTATAACCGACGTTATTATCAACGTGCATGGGCTGTGATATGCCTATACGCTATATAATATTTAAACACGTATTACCACGGATAGGATTATTTTGCATAAAAATAAGACGAATAGATATATCTAAGTCAGTCTAGGATAACTAATTCAATTATTTGTCGATCCGGAAATAATTATAATTTATTTAAAAATATAACAAAAAAAAAAAATAAATAGTTAAATTAACCATTCCTCTCATTATATATTCTTTCTCTTCTCATGTTTCGTGTTTTATACTTATATATGTAAATCGATTGTTATTACAGAAGGAATATACGAATTTTATATTGACAATATATGTATGTTATGATTATTATTTAGAGTAGAATTGCATATAAATGATCTATTTAAATATTTAAAGAAAATGTATACCCTCTAGATTCCTCAAATTTTAACCTTTAATATTAATCATTACATTTTTGCACATCAAAATAAAATACTTGGAAAAATAATATTTGTGAAATTGAAATTGTAGATATTATATAAAAATAATAAGTTGTCAATGTTTAAGTGCGATTACTTTTAGTTGACCAATGAAGAACATATAAATATAATAAACAAGTACCTCATATAAGTAAAATAATTAAGGTAATATGTAGTCATAATTGTCGGAAAACAGATATTTATAACGTTAAATAGTTATACCGAGTAAAAGTCAACGAACGCATAACGAACACTGGCTTTATTTCATTAACGGCACGCGTACTGCAGTCAGAGACGAATGTAGATGCATTCTTTGCGGTATTGCAGGCTATATAAAACCGTCTCCATTCCGTCGGAACGATAGGTCTAAACACTCTAAACGATTAATAACGACAATCCCGCTCTACGTTCACCAGATATGTGACTAAACGTTTGTAAAAAAATAAAAAACTATACAAGCCTACGAAAACGACCCCCTAACAAATCAATTCAGTCGTATAACCGTTTGTGTATGTATTATTTTTACAACCTACGAAAACCTATACTTGATTAGACAGGTACAAAATTGCACGGGTCTGTGTAACCGCAGAGCCTAAACGAATTATACATGACAGCCATTCCTTGACGCTATTTTTTACTCGTATTTATTTTTGTATTTTTTCCTTCGTTTCTAGGATCTAAGATATCATCGTGTAGTTGGTATATACTTATATATTACCTATGTGAAAAAAATGATGTATATAGGTCAATAAAGCTTTTCGCACAGTACATACATTTTCTTACGCAAATGTTTTTTAATCAATGTATTTTGTTTGATTGTTTATTTAATTGGTACGATTATTCTCTTGCATTTTAATAACTTATGGAAATCATATGTTTAAAGTGCATTTTATTTCTTCTTATAGAAATAACGTGTTATTGAATTGACTATTGTATTATACCATTATTATTTATTTGATTCTTAACATACATTATATACATTATGTTTTAATATATCTTAAAATTATGTGTTACATATTATTCTTGTATGTTGTTATACCTGTGTGAACTAATGAAAAAATGCTGAATATTTCAAATTTTTTTGCTGATTGGCTTAATGACATATTATAATACGTAACAATGACTGGGACTGTACTTACCTATTAGTATATTTGATTTAGTCCGTGACAAAACAATACGCATTGACTCATTATTTATGGTATAAACACACCATACTGCAAAAACTGTTAAAAATGTATATTTTTACGAAAATTCTACTGTTAGATTTGTGTATGTTCAAAATTAATCATTGCATCGTATTTATTACTTAGTACAATATATATATATATATATATACATTAATATTTTATTGGAAATTTTATTGTTCTATGCTTATGATCATAAACATTTAACACAAGCTCTCTATAACATGAATACATAGTATGTAATAGTTATATATAGGTATATATTATGATTTAATTACCCTTGTATCTATTAACTAACTACTCCCATCCGGACGAATTATTTTGTGTTAATGTTGTGAATGATATAGTAAATACGTTAGTCTATTTGTAGTTAATATTATTTTCTAGTATATTTTTGGCTTTTATTCTAGAAAATGAATACGGCATCATCAGAAAATGTCAAAACAACTGATTCAACTCCCGAAGAAAACGGAGAAAGAGTCAGACTCAAAAAACAACTGGGTCTTCTCGAAGGTGTCGCCATTATTCTGGGCATCATTTTCGGATCCGGTGAGCTTAAAATTTTTTTTAACTAGTTATGCGTACCTTGGAGAAACGAGGTTAATTGTAATAAGGGTAAATGATTTAATGATTAAAAAAAAAATTTTTACCACTATGAATTTTATAATATATAATTAAATATACGTATTTTAATGTAACACGGAGTTATTTGTTTGTTGGTTTATGTTTTTTTTTATATATTAGCCTCATTATTATCATTATCATATTATCATTATTATCGAAACTAAAAAAAAGCTTCGATAAATAAATCGTTTGTTGTTCGATTGCATTGTAATATATAATATAACATCTCTTAAATCATACTTAAAAGTATAATATTTGAAGTTTTGTGGTAATTTTATAAAACAGCCGATAAAAAGCGGTGACAATTTAAACATATTTAAAATGTTAAGTCTACAATTGAGATCGACATTCTCATTTTTTCGATTTTTTTCCCTATATATATTTTTCATAGAAAATTAAAAAAAATGATGAATTAGCGTTTTTTATTTTTATGGTAGCTTAGCCTAGAAAAGCATTTATGGAATAGTTTTTCTCTAATGAGACAATTTGGAAAATAAATAAGCATTTTCTGCAGGTGATTTAGGGGGATTAGGAAGTAAGATTAAGTTAGTTTTATGAGAGTAAAATATTGAAATTACAAATTAAACTGTTTAACTTCTATTTCATATTGTGATACCACAAAAAAAAGTATTATACAATCAACTATCGAGAAATCGTAGTAGCAAGGTTATTGATGTTTTAGAGTTGAACGGAACTTTACAAACCGTTCCATATTGTCATGTTATTATTATTAATTATAACTCGAATAATATTCATATTTCTTATCAATCAGCCGTTTCGCGTGTTCAAGATAAAACATTTTTTCTTACGTAGAATTTGTAAAAATTTCAGAAAAATGTCTGTGGGGGGGGGGTTATAACCCCCTCACCCCTTGTTGCGCCACTGTTTCTTAGTTACAAACGAGATCGTTATAATAATATTTTATTGATTTTTAATCGATCTCATATTTTAAGTAATATTCAAAAGTATATATCATTTATCGTATGTTATATGTATTAAAATCCATACATCGATATTTTATAATAATATATGTACATTTTATGTGTCATATTAACATTTTTTAACTTTAATTTTATACACTTTTTATTAAACTCACTACACTAAAGAAAATCTTAAATCATGAGTTTAAAATCCGAAAATATATCAGAATGATTTTTGTTGTAAAAAATATCTAAAACCCTATTTTGTTGACATTTGTATGCAAACAAAATATAATTTACTACCATTTCGACGTATTGATAATTTCTATACTTGAATTCTATGTAAATTATAATATCATCTCTTCTTTGAATTAATATTTTTTTCAAGCTTAAATTTTAGCTACTTTGTATGCTACAAAAACTTCCAATTGTATTTTTCGTTTGGGCAAATTGTCAAATCAAAGTTCATTAATACATTATACTAATATTGTAACATAAAAAATGATATTTACGGATATCCAAATACAGATCAAACATTTTATTTCGAAATAAAAATTATTCTTACAATCCAATTTTTTCTCTCTAGTTTTATTTTTCATTTTCTTAGTGTTTGCTTAGCCCTAGATTATTATTAAAGAGATTTTAAAAATGTTTTGATAATGATGTGCTATTTTCATGTCACAAAAATTGCGATTGCAATTAATAAATTTATCTGAAAATAAAATCAGATAGGTATTCTGAAACTATATGAAATAGGAATGTTATTCTTATTAATCAATCGATGAAACTACAAACAATTGTATAGTGTATTATATTTGTGTTATGACATTATGTAAAAATGTCTAAATATCAATATATTTAATTTATTTTCAATAAAAATAAAAATAAAATAAATAAAAGTCCACTCACATAAAAATGTTATTAACAAACGTTAACTTTTTTTTCGAGCAAATTCTTGCGATGACATCAACAAGACATTGCTTTTTTTCAGGTATATTCATCTCGCCTTCGGGAGTGATGAACGAAGCTGGATCAGTCGGCCTCAGTCTGACTATGTGGTTCATGTGTGGCATGCTTTCCATGATCGGCGCGTTATGTTATGCCGAACTTGGTACATCTATACCGCGGTCGGGCGGAGACTATACATATCTGTTCGAAGGATTCGGGCCCCTGCCGGCTTTCCTTTATCTGTGGGACGCCATGCTCGTGTTTGTGTACGTATATATATAACCACATTCTCTTGATATGTACCCCGTGTAGGCCGGCTTCTCAGAAATTACTTGAAGATTATATTAATTTTCATAATTTACATTTTATTATTTTAAAATGCGACATCGAGTCTTTTGAGTGTTACCAAATGTTTACGACGCAACACGTGTGATTACAATTATTATTACGGTTTTTGTTTTCAAAAGTGAGACTGCAATAATGTTGACAGTATTATGATTGTAAACTTTCACTGCGGTGCCATTGATACATTTGATTTGTTACGTTCAATGTTTGAAGACTTGCTATCACTTAGTATCGGTGTAAGCCGTTAGGCCGAAGGCTTGTTAAAACAACTTTCAGTGTCAGAGTTTTAACTAAATAGATGATCTGTATGATGTATGGGGGACATTTTTATATCTTTATATATCTTGTATGTCTTTCGTCTTGGATGTAAATCAACCTTAAGGTGGCCTTACGACCTTAGAAACGAAAGAGAAGATTAATGTCTAATGCGGCGCTTAGATAGTATTTTCTAGATCCGCGACATGTCTAAATAGGTGGATAGTGGCGCCGTGAAAGTAGAAAAACAGGTGGGGCTAGGTAAATTGGGTCCGCGATATTTTGTATACATTTTGAAGGCGGTAAATTGAATCCCGGAAAAAAAATATTAGGGAAGTTGGGTCCCGGGGAAAAAAATATAGTAAGTAAATTGAGTCCCAACTACTGACTATACTACCTCGCCGTAGTCGTTTTACAAATGACAATTCACACTGTTTCTATCGGTTATCGATTCCATTGTGATCAAATAACTTCGTAACGTCGTAACTTTAATTATGTCTAATTAAGATATGTATATAGGTATATACGTACATTAGTTTGTCGTATATCGTGTGTCAGTTACCAGTTAACACCAATATTGATGATAGTTCTTATGATTACACACAGACATGAATGTACGAAATCTGAGCATTTTCACTATATTTTTCGTAGCGTGCATTGCGTATCTACTGTACGTCGATTTGAGTTTGTTAAATTCGTATCTTTTAAGTTTTTACCGAAAATGTAATAAAAAACACAATAATATTAAAATTGACTTCTAATAAAAATTATTAGATATTTAAAAAAAAATTGTTAACCTACTACCTTTTTTCCCCGGGACCCAGCTTACCTAAAACCTTTTTTTCCCGGGACCCAACTTATCTACAACCTTTCTTTTCCCAGGACGCTTCTTACCTACTGCCTTAATTTTCCCGGGACCCAATTTACCGAGAAAAGGTTATTTATGACCCAATTTACCAACTCCCAAACAGGCCAGAGGTTAATTTAATATTACATCTAAAAAATTTTCAACACCATTTTCGATTTTTTTTTATTATTATTTTACATCTGTTAAATTTTATAATTGATTAAAAATTTGTAGGGAAGTACGAAGTTTTAAAAAAAAATTTCAATTTATTTAAAATGTAACATTTACAATCTGTACATTAAAACAAAAACGAAGTACAATAAACAAATGGGCGAACAAAGTAATGAAATATAACTTGGAGACAATGAGTTGAGAATCTACTCAGTGATACGACCCTTTTGACATTTTTCAGCTAGAAATCAAAACAGTAGCGTCGTTTCAATCTAGAATATCATGACACCAATGTCTTTTAAAACGGCGAGAGGGTTTATTAGGTATGTGTCAGAGAGTTGTCTGGCTGTGTGCTGGTTTGCGAATAGTGGATTTGGATGTTGAAATAATTTTGTATAGAACTTTTGATAGTGAGTTTTGACTACATTTTTAACTGATTTAATATTTAAATCTGGGAAGGATGTTATTAGAAACATACTAACGAGCTGAAGTGCTTTTACATGAAAGGAAGTCGATTGGAAAGCTTCAATTGATTTAGATGCAATGGTATAGCATAGCTCCATATTTGGGTTTCAAATGATCATCATATTGGTCTTGATATTAAATTTAATTATTTTACAATGAAGAGTTTCAATTTTAGTTCTAGCGTATGGAACTTAAGTAGTAAATCATGTCGACTAGCTTGTGTACTTGTTGCATAGAGGAATGTTTGCATGAAACCCAAATTGTGTATTGTTAATTACTTTATGCGCGTTCATAATTGGTCTTAACCTTTTCAAAACGATTTTTATAACTATACTAAATACATGTTACGAACTTCGACCCGAATGCCTGTCGGGCTTCCGTCAACATCAGCACTCTCTCATTCTCTCGCGGTGGACTTCAACATGAAGTTAACTTTTGCTTATTTTATAACATACAGACCGACCACCAACGCAATCATGGGACTGACGTTCGCCAACTACGTAATCAAACCGTTCTTCCCGGACTGCGACAACCCGGATCAGGCAGTCAGGCTCCTGGCAGCCGGCGTGATTTGTATAATAATATATGATGCACTGTGCTCGACGTCCGGTCGTTGATAATAATTATTTGTCCGTCATTGGTCGTTTGTAGGTTTCATAACTTTTATCAACTGCTGGAACGTCAAGGCCACCACTAAAGTCCAAAACGTATTTATGTTCACCAAGATATCTGCGCTGGTGATGATCATCGTGTGCGGTGGCTATTACCTGTACTTGCGTCAGTATATACATATATAACAATATCTTATAATTATGTAAATTAAAAATATAAATAACAGTGTTTCGTACGCACGTCGTTCGTATGGGATTGCCCTATACTGCGCACTGCGTGCATACGCCTAAAACTTGTCATAATCGTTTACTTATCTTTCTCCCCGTCTCATCTCATGATTTTTAGACGGATTTTCAAAGTTCTCGAACCCTTGGCAAGGATCGGTCACAGACCCCGGCCGGCTGGCAGTTTCCGTTTATTCCGGAATATACTCGTACTCGGGATGGTAAGATTATTGCACATGCGATATAATATAACACATGCGTAACTAGGTTGAGTGAAGCCCGTCCGACGTTTTCGAACCATTTAAGCGACTTTTTCTTCGGTATGGTGTAAATAGCGATTACTATCTGAAAAATGTAGTCATTTTTTTCTAGTGCGGTGAATTGCCTACAACTCGTGATTAATAATCATACTGAAATAATTGTAAAGCATGTTGTAGTCAGAGAGGTGGGGGAATTCTCCCTAAAAATGTACACCTAGTTACGCGCAACCACTACCTATAAATATGCCTTCAATATTATATTCGTATATTCTTCTTAGGAACTACTTGAACTTCATGACCGAAGAGTTGAGAAACCCATACGTGTAAGTCTGATGTATATTAATAACGAGTGGCTATCATAATAATACCGCATTAATTGTTGACCGATCCCGATTACAATAATTGAAACTATATCGTTCGCAGGAACTTACCGAGAGCCATTTACATTTCCATGCCGCTTGTGACCATCATCTACGTGTTGGCCAACGTGGCGTACTTGGCCGTTTTGACACCGTACGACATGATGACGACCAAAGCGATTGCCGTTGTAAGTATACATTCGCTTGCATGTTTCAAACGCGTTAGGATCGACTCAACAGGTGTAATCATAATTTTTCTCTCCCCCCTCCTCCTCCGCTGCAGTGCATACAAAAACAATAAGGGGTAAATAAAAAATATTTTTACCTTTAAAAACCTGTTTCATTTTTATATTACTCGTAATCTTTACTCATATAAAGCGTACATAATTGTATTTACCGGATCAAAATGATTTCTTTATAATATATTGAAGTTAATAAAGAGCAATAATTATTTGCATAATTTTAATAATGATTTTTTTTCTCCTGAGTACATAGGAATTTTTAAATTTGTTAAAATGAAAAAACTTTGTTTTTTTACTTAGACTTTCGGACACTTGGCCATGGGCTCATTTGAATGGATCATGCCCCTAATGGTTGCCCTGTCAGCATTTGGTGGTCTGTGTGTTCACATTATGACTTCATCCAGGTATTTATTGCCACATTTGTGTACTTCATTTATAATTTTATTGACCTAATATGTAATATTTTTTTACTTTTAGAATGTGCTTTGTCGGAGCACGATACGGTCATTTTCCAACATTTTTGTCCTTCATAAATATAGATAGATATACACCAACTCCATCACTAGTGTTTTTGGTAAGTATCTTCTTTTTACAATGAGTTAAACATTGAAGATTGTTTATTCTATATGAATGTAAAAATATTTATTGCATAGTCACAAAAGCAAGTTTCTATAATGATCCCTTCCAGATTTGTATTAATCTAATTTTTTGAACAATTTTGATGGTTAATGTTGTTTAAAGAATGTTGGTTTTCACACTTAGTTAATTAGTTGTTTCTTGTTGTTTGTTTTGTTTCAGAACATTCTTTCTCTGTTAATGCTCTTCACTAGTAATGTTGACATGCTGATAACATACTCAAGTTTTGTTGAAGCATTCTTCACAATGTTATCGGTGTCATCTGTGTTATGGAATCGTTGGAAGCGTCCCAACATTAACAGACCAATTAAGGTACAATCATAATGATATATTAGTTGTGTGCCCATGTTACTATTATAATTAAATCATTCTTATGCAAACAATCTAGGTATCCCTTTGGATCCCAATCACATATGTGGTAGTATCATTGTTTTTAATTGTATTGCCATGCTATGTGAGACCTAAAGAAGTTGGTATGGGTGTCGGTATTACCTTATTAGGAATTCCAGTCTACTATTTGTGTGTTGTTTGGCAAAACAAGCCTGTGTGGTTCCAAAATTCATTAAGTAAGTTTCACAAACTTTGTATTTATAATAATTTATAATTTTTTTTTTATTATTTTTTTTCTAGAGCACACCACTTATACTATTCAAAAATTGTTTATTAGCGCTAAAGAAGAAAAAGCAGAAGATATTTGGGAATAATTATGTATTAATTGCATACCTTTGTGCTTGGATATCTTAATTTGATTGATCTGCTTGTCAATTATTTATTTTTACCTCAAACACTTCCTTTAAAAACATTAAGTTTTTGTTTGTTTTGTTCATAATTAATGCATTTCCTTGCACTTTTTTTTTTTTTAGTTATTTTTACATGACATTTTTATGTTATTTGCCATCAAATGGTCTAATTTTCTTATGATTATTTAATGTTCAGAAATGTTAATGCCTCTTATGAAAATATTTTGTTTAATCATTCATGTAAATAATTTAGAACTACATTATATAATTTCAATAAATATACTAATAATATGAATAAAAATGAAATGCTTAGAATATTTGAGCCAATTTGTTTTTAGTATATTTATTTCTTCTAAATACATTTTTTAACTAAATTCATACCTCTACCTTGAATGGATAACATTATTTTAAATATAACACCTAAACTCATATTTCACAAAATATAATAATTACAAGCATAAAAACATAAAATTTCAATCTAGAAGATTCCAATAAAAGCACTGAACCATGCAAACAAATTCAATGAACATTGCACCTATTGCTGTATACATTAAGAATTTTTTTTATTTACTTTTATTTTTATTATTCATCAGTATTACAAAATGTATACAAGTTTACATTAAACGTTGTATTTTATAAATGTATATATATATATATATTATAAATTATATAATATTTACTTACATCCAATAAAATTTTATACTTAATACATTTGATTTTTATTAATTATTTAAGGAAACCAAATCGTTGTTTACACACATTACTGGACATATCTTTAGTAATTGTTTCTTCGAGTGCTTTGTTCAACAAAACTCCAATTTGTGAACCAGACTGAAAATTATTAACATATATATTTACCAATAACAATTATACATAATTGAATAAAATACTCTTACCATAATGATCTCGTTCAATGTATCTGGCATAAAACTGCCTGCTCCTTTTTTCAAAACAGCTGACACTTTACCTTTGGGTGTGACTGATATCACAATACATCCAGCACCACATATTTCTTCCTCTATAGTTGGGTCCGCTACATAGTTGTTGCCAATCTTGCACAAAGACACCAAAACAGGTAAATCTCTTGCATCTAAAGGTTTTGTATCAAAAGGATCATCAGATATCTGAAGATCAATATTTTTACCATCCTCATAAGTTCCTACTATGTTTGGTAGACTAGTATTACACAATGCAGCTTTAGCAGCCAATGACACAGCATCAAACAAATTTCCTTAAAAAAAAAAAAAAATAATAAAGAACTTTAGTTATGATAAATATACAATAACAATTTAAACAAATTATGGTTTGAAAATAATTTTTATTACAATCACATGGGTTGCACTTTTATAAATTCTAACTTTGAAAAAGAAAATTAAAGTTTATGCATCAAAGTAATAAAATATGAATGTTAATCTTTCACACATATTGATAATTAAAGCCGTTGTGATATTTTAATTTTTAAGACCAAGGGCTAATTTATATTAAAGTCTGCACCTTAATCAGTACTTAAATTTTCCTAATACATATTATAACTATGGTCATATTTAAAAGTAAAAAAATAATTAATTATAAATCATATAAAAGTTACACAGTTATAACAAAAGTAAATAAATGTACAAATGGTGAAATGATTAATTTTTTAATTATTAGTAACAAAAATAATAAGAAGTAAAATTCATGATGATTAAATAATCAAAGATTAACTTTTAAATTTTTTTTTTGAGATATAATAAAATAAAAGTACTCTTATTTTTTTATTTAAAAATAATCTTACCACCACATTCTAAGATTAAGACATCCACAAATAATTTCCAACATGATTGTCCAGATACGATACACAACTTGCTCAAATTGAACACTGGACAATGGGCTAACGAAAGAAAACGACTGAGCTCAGCAGCCAATTGTTCACCACCACGTCCCTCAAATGTAGGAGTAGCATTGGCTGAACTATAAAAAAAAAAATATATATATATATTAACAGTAAACAAGCAATTGTACACTTACCAATCAACAAAGTACTCAATTTTTCCATCATTGGGTGTCTCTGGAAGAGGAGTATCAATCTCAACTTTAACGCAAACTAAAATATCAGAATTGGCCAATCGCAAGCGAGCCGACCCATTAGCATTACTCACAATGTCCATTTCCAATTCTAATGGCCTGTAGTCTTGTCGACTACGACCATCACATCGGAAGTTTTCCTAGGACAGTTAGTTGTACAGATAATTATATTGTTGTCTACTGACGAATCCGTTATAAAAATATTGAACTCACCTCTACTCCATGAATTATGTACACCTTTTCCCCTTCGTTCAAGGATACCAAACTCATGCTCGGACTAATCAGTATTCAAATGATTGCAATGATTATTTTTTAACTAATTCAAATCTTTCACAAACGAATACTATAGCAAAAATACAGTCCATAACAATTTGAAAAGTTATTTGCAAATATAATTATAGCGCTAAAGCACATGTTCGTGATAAATGATAAGAAATAAATGATAAATGATAAAGCTACTATCATTGATTATAAAAATAAACATCCTAATTATAAAGAACAAGTTAGAACGGCGTAGAACATAATTATTAAATATAAAAAAATTAATTTATATTTATATATTAACTATTATGTCTTATGCCGTTGTAATATGATTAGTGCACCAAGGGCCGTACTTAGGGGGAAGCTACTGGGTGCTGTTGCCCCGGGCGGCTGAATATGAGAGGACGGCTAATTTTTTATATTTTCAATATTTAATGATCTAATATTTTTGAATTGAAACTTCTTTACAAAATAAAAAGTGTATTTCAAAAAAATATATATATTACCAATCACGGCAACACGACACACACATACTCGGTACGGTCGAGTACTGTCAATAGATCCAAAGATTTACAAACAATCTATCCTTATGTTGACATTGCACTTAGAATGTTTTTGTGTACACCAGCAATGAATAGTTCTTCAGAAAGATCTTTTTCAACTTGCAGAAAATTGTATTCGGTATAATTAGGGTTGCCATACGTCCTGGTTTTACCAGGATACTACTGGTTTTTAATCAAGTGTCCCGGTGTCCCGGGAGTGTTTCGGGACAGCGATTTGTTCTGGTTTCAAAATTTTACTCGATAAAATATCAAGAAAATTAAAAACAAAATAAAGGATAGGTTTCTCATGGTAGAAATTGAAAATCTTGTAACAAAACTTGAGGACGAGGAATTACCTATCAATAGAACTAATTTTGAAAGTTAATGTGATGAATTTTATTTACTTTTTTACAAATATTTAAAAAAAATGAAACAATTCAAATCAACATGTAATTAATATAAAATCAATTTTATGGATAAGATTAGCCCCAAAGACAATAGTAAATTGGGAAAATTTCAAAAAATCAGTAATCTTTATAAAAGCTTTAATGTCAAAAAATCTTAATTTTGATAAATAAATGTTTATCGAACAATTCAAAATGTTTGAAAAAATTAATCAACAAAATGACGAGTGGCATTGTCAAAAAATAGAAAATAAATGGATATGTATTTTTAAAATATTCACTGATAACAATCATGCATTTTCTGAGCTATTAAAAGTTGTTGAATTTATTTTTGTTTTGTCGGGTTCAAATGCACTGATGAACAGCGCATGGACAAATTCAAGATAATAACTAGTTATAAAAACGGTATATTATAAAAACCTGCTTCAATAATACACCTTATGAAGTATTTTACGACCAAAGTTTGGGAAACAAGTCATTATTAAAACAAGTTTATGGATCAGTCAAATATGTAGTAAAATCAACAGAAGAAACTCTGGACCCCAAAAGATTCGAAGACTAAGAATATGAATTATTATAATTATTATTATTATTATTATTATATTGCTTCTATACATAATTCATTCAAAATATATATATATATTTTTTTCTTTCATATGGCGATATATATATATTTATAATATTTATCCATTCAAAAAGTCCTGGGTTCGGAAAAATATAATCTGGTAACCCTAGGTATAATGAAGCATTTTTTATTGTTGCTCCCTGATGTTAAATTCCTAAATACGGCCCTGAGTGCACCATTGTCCGGTCACAAATCGTTACGATCAGTGGCGCCCACAGGTCAGGGGCGTATTTACTTTCTTTTAGGGGGGGGGGAGGCGACTCAAATTTTTTCTTTAATTCAGGCTCAAAATTTACAAGTAAAATTTTTGGTAATATTTATATCAGGTGAATCCTTAATATTTGTGTTTTTTTTTTTTTTTTTAATCTGTTATCGGATTCACTTACAATGGTCTTTTGTGTAGTTCTTTTTTAACACCTATCTGTGTTTTGAAAGTTTCGCTTGAGTAATATTATTATCTTATTATTAGGGAACGGATTTATATATAATACAAATACAGAAATATGTACATATGTATGTAAGTATAATTTATAAAATATGTGCTAAAAACATTCAAATATGTAAGAAAAAAATTGAATTGAAAAAAAAAAAAATTATAATTATTAAATTATCAAAATGATTTGTTGCATTGAATTATTATAATATCTTTTAAATTATTAAATATTATATGCCGCCTATTAGATCTGAATATATTTTTAAGACGGCTAAATGATCGTTCCACATCAACCTACATCGGTTTATTGAAGCATATTTGAAGCGCATAATATCAGAAGGCGATAATTCTAAATTTTTAGAATGGTGTCTACCACTGATTATGTCATTGATTAATTTAAAATCAATATCGCCTAGAATTTTTTTTTTGTAACAGCATAAATTTTCTTTTTTACAAAATCTCCTGTTGGTCCGTTTAAGAGTTTTCATTTTTCAATCGTTGATTAGACAATTTGCATACTATCATTTAAGGACATATTTTTTTCTAATTTTGTAAATGTATGTGCAATAAAACTAAAATTCACTGAAATGAAAATTAAATTATTTTTCAATGTTTCATTTTGCATAATATTTTGAGCTTTTCTTATAGCGATAGAAGTTACTAGATCTAAATTAGAAACAATTTCTTCTATTTTCATACGAAGAAGATGTGAAATGATAAAATATGTTTAAAAATATTTACAAATTAGTGAAATATGTAAAAATATGTAATTATACCAAAATATGTAAAAATATGTAAAATAAAAGTAGCATCATATTAATAGGAATGATTTAAATCATGAACATTTCTTATCGAATCTTAAATATCTCGTTTTAATAAAAATATGCATTTACATGTAAATCTGTTCCCTACTTATTATTAAATAATTATAATTATTAAGAAACATACTTGCTCAAAGTGTATATAAACATACATAAAGTATTATAAACTAATTACTAAAAATAATATAATAATTTCTAAAATCTAAATACTTAAGTCTAATTAACATATTAATATTTATTTTATTGATCTGGGTATTGTTGAAGTGCACGTGGCTTAAAAATAAATTCTAACATGATCGACTTTGAAATCGTCCGTGATCGACCGTTTGGCTGCCCCTGATGTACCGTGTAGTTCGCACGTTTTTAGTTCGTACACCGATGAACGACATACACTATCCGTTTTGTATTATTGTACAGTGTTCGAACAACACGGACCGTTTTATTCGTTTATCCACACACTACGCAATATTGTCTTGTTATCTACCAGCGTCCACGTTTTTTTTAAATACGCTAAACTTTTGAGTGCTTATTTTTTTAATATGTTTTCCTTTCAATATGGGATCTGTATAAAACTCTACTATATAGTAGAAGTGAGTGGCAAAGTATGTAAAAATAATAGAATTTTAAAAATAATCAATAAAATATTAATAATTTGAACATAATTTTTTAATTTATTATTATTATTTAATTTAAAAAGTTTTTAGAACTGTACGGTTTTAGTTCAAACGCTGAATATGGACTCACACCTTCGGTTTTCTTCATTTCAAACACCAAACACGGACAAAAAATCAAACTCATCAGTTTTTACTCCATGTCCGTGTACGGTGTTTTTCGTCCACACACTATCGGTGTACGTTGTTCGAACTATACCGTACATGATACACGGACAAATAAAGCCTGTAGTGTGTGGCCACCTTAACTCGCTGGATATCGATAAAAATAATAGTCGTTATAGAATAATAGATTATTTGTTTAGTGTTAATTTCAGTCGATTATTATCCGTCGTTTTTGCGTCTCGCAACCATTCAACGTTGAATCATACGTAATACGTTGTACAAGTATATTTTGTAACATAAGCTGGGTCCACACGATGATAGCAACTCTCAACTATCATGCATGTATGATAGTGAGAGAGTAGCTTTCTTCGTAGTCCGATAGTCACTATCGACCAGTTCACACGATGCACTTACATGATAGCAACTATCGCGTTTTACTATCATCGTGTGGACCCAGCTATAGTGTAATTCCGAAAGTACAACAAACAACGAGTAGCCGACTACAAAGTTTTGTTTCGGAGTTTAAAGATACATTTACATCCGATGGATACGTTTTATTTTGTGTACTATGTGGTCATTTTCATTTTAATGCATTTAAATGCATATTATAATGATTTTAGAAGCATATTTATGTATTTTTTAGAGCTATAAGTCCCTAAGCCTAATCATGAATTTTGTGGTTCACTGAATCACCAAACTTTTTGGGTGGGTGTCATTTTAATAGGTGGGTACTTGGTCTTGGCATCTGACAGTGGTATAAAATATAATATAAAATTGGTAATTTAATAAAAATTAATTGAGTTTTTGTACCTAACATGATTTTTTGGTAGGTGGGTGGGTGGTATTAACTATGCTTGAACCACTAACTGAAAAATATCAAACCGCCTATGGTATAAACGCTAACTGAAAACACTCAATACCTTTGCGTAGAGATCTACAGTTTGTTTTGTTTTTTTAGTTGAATTTTATTACATAAAAATACTAATTTTTATGATCTTCCGAATTTTTTTAACTTAATTAGACTGGTACCATTTTTTTTTAGCAAACACCTATTTTAACCACTAATTATTTTTCGCTAAATTTTTAATGAATTTCGGTAGCTTAACCAACTTTCTAAGTCCAAAATTGATCAAGTTATAGCAATTAAGAAAACCATGGTAAAATGAGCGGTTTTCAGTATTTTTACTGTAACTCTATAAATATTTGTTCTATGGTTATTTAAACTTGACATTTTTACTCCTATTTATTGAGGTAAGATTTATATGTTAGGTATTATAATTTGTACTACTGATCATTTTCATTAAAAAACCAAAATATTCATTTTTAATATTTGTATTTAAACTCGTCATTGCATAGAATGCATTTCTAGCTTGTTTGGTCTACTATCAATTTAAGGAATACAGAAAAAAATATGAAACTCTTACAATTTCAGAGCCATTTTTATAATCATTATACAAATATATATTATTATAGTAATAATGAAGTTCGTGTAAAATGTTTTCATACTTCTCTTACACCAGAATGTTAATAAAAATGAAAACCAAATAATAAAATACAAGAAACCAATATTATAAGAACCTTACATAGAGTACTTAGCCATGCAACATATGTTTCCATGTGATTCTGTGCCAGCCAAAGTAAATTGTATAAAGTAAAAAATGTTTAAGCTTAAGTCAAATATTTCAGTTATTGTCACATTAGAAGTATGAAAAATTGATAATTTTGATAGTATATCGATGGTTTATTTTTGGGATACATGTGACCATACTCCATAAGTTAAATGAGGATAAGTTAAATATTGTTTAAACACCCATGCTTATTTTTAACCAAATAAATTATAAGATTATAAAATATATTATATGGCATAATTAGAGACTAGTATATATTCTATGATATTATGTAAAATATATCAAGAAACAAGTATTGGTTACAATTTTTTTTTTTTTTTTTGTATGAAAAAATAAATAGTTACATAACACAAAATTTATGACATTATTAGAAACTAATAAAGATTTTTAAATATTAAAAAAAAAAAGATTTCAATCTTGATTTATTTTCACTTTTTACGATAAATATATTTAAAATACCAAAAAAATTGAAGATATAAAAAAAAAAAAAATCTGTTTCATATAAATAATTACTAATATAATATTTAATAAATTATAATCTTATTAGTATTATATTAACTAAAATTAATGGACTTTTATTATGTATTTATTTTACACACAATATCATTAAAAACTTGTTTAAATTGATCAGCAATCTCTTCGTTTTTGAAGCGTATAGCCAATAACTCTTTTTGTGGGTCTGGATTATCTTCAGTTGTGTTCATACATCCCCAGCAGAATGCCTTATTAGAGAGTTTCATTGGCATAAGCGATATATTTGGTGTTATTAAATGGTTACAAACAACTTTAAAAACCTAAAAGATTAACCAAAACAAATTATAATATACATTAATATCATTAAAGTAATATTTTTAGTATTTACTTTTTCTCTTCTAAATAAAAGACGATAGGTATTTCTTTCAGGATGATACAATATTTTCATTTCACCAATTCCTCTTTCTTTATACTCATTACCATCTTTACGAAAAAGTTTGGAACGTTCACAAAATACTATACATAAACAAAACAAAAATTTTGATTAAACAATAATAACAGTAAATTATTAATATAATACTTACAAATAGTTTCATTTTCTTCTCCTGTAGAAACTTCAATAGCATCTGGAAGTGGTATGATAGGTTCAAAATGAGGATCATGACTATTATCCACTTCTTCAACAATTTCTTCTTTTTCACAATTTTTCTCTTCATCAGTAGATTTATTAAGATTGGCATTTTTGCTTGCCCACGGATTAACTATGAGTAACATAATAATTATTAACATACCCCATAACAAATAAATATTTTTTTATAAATACCATTAATAGCATTTTCAATAACAGGCTTATCTTTAATACCAAATAAACGTTGTCCAAATACTGATGTAGGATCTTTAGACACAACCCCAAATTTAAACGGACTGTCTGTCTTAGGACTGAAGGAAAATAAACTTTCACTTTTAGATTTAGTATCATCAGTCTTGGAAATTAATGAACTTTGAGTAGTATTCTGAGATTCTGATAAACTAAATATTGATGAATTAGGAGCTGCAGTTGAAGAAAAACTAAATAAACCAGTTGATTTTGTATCATCAGTTTTAATAGAATCAGTAGAAATGTTTCCGAAAACAGGTTTAGCTCCAAAGAGAGGTGTATTAGATGTTGATTTTTCAAATATACTAGTTGAAGACTTATCACCAAACAGAAATGAAGAAGGATTAAAAGACTGCGAAACATGATTATTTGGTGTAACCAATGAATGATTTGATGCAGAAATATTCACTGGTATTTTTTTTTCTTTAACTCTTTCGATTTCCTGAAATAAAAAGAGTCATTAAACTAAATTATATTAATATTAAAAACTAACTAAATAAATTAACTAACTAAATTATATTAATATTAAAAACATTTAATTATGATATCATTTTAAAATAAAATCGTCATAATGATTTTTTTAAGTACCACAATTATAATTTAATTATCTCATAAATATATAATAGAGAGATTGGTGGGAATAACATAACAGCAATTTGTAAATTCTACAATAAAGAATGTAATTAAAAATGCATTATAATTTTTTATAAATATTATTTAGTATACATATTCTTAAAAACTTAACAATATTAAATCATATTTATACTCATGAAATTTTCAAATAGTCTTTTTAAACTATTTTCACATTATTCCGGAAAAAATGAAATCCTTTTTACTAAGTATGTTATTCCCACGTACCTTTCAATTATATATTTAAGATATATATAATAAAATTTAACACGAATATATTGAAAAAGAGGAACTGTTATATATATATTGTTATTTATTAGAATATAATAATATGTAAGATTTTTTTTTTACAATAAACATGTTTGTTGATATATTTATTTTTTGATGACATGAGTGATTTGATTAAAATAAGTCATCCAGTAGTAACACTTTTGGCTTAAGAGTGTTATAAATGACTTATTAATTTCATAAAATAAAATGTGTATTTTACCTTTTAATTCTTGATTTATAATAAAAACATATATATATATAAGTATTTTAAAAATAAATAGTAATATAATGTGTACAGTAATAATATGTACAGTGAATCAATAATAAGCCTTATAATTCTATGGCTTGGTACAAGAATGGTTAATATCAAATAATAACAAATTAAAATATTAAAATTGGTTAAAATAACAACACCAATGTTAATTCATAATGATTCATAATTCATAATAAATAATTCAAAATGACCAATATTAACACCAAGTTGATCACACTAGTTCAGTACATTGGCTGTTATTTCAATAAAAAAATAATTTAATTAATCAGTCAAAGAATTTCAATTTCATCAAAATTGGATCTTGCACCAAGCCACAGAAATATAATATTACAAAAGAACTTGTTTTAAAATTACCTTTTCATTATCTGTCTTCAATGAAGTAACTTCTTTTTCATCTATTTCTTTCTACAAAAATAAATGACCTCATCAATATAATATCACTATATATGTTAATTTAATATTTACCTCCTCAGAATCTTGTTCACATCCAACACATCCCTTACATTTTGGCTTGGACTTATAAAGGAAAAATGACAATGGTAGTTTCAAGTCTTCAGCAAGTACTTGATCATCTCGAGATATGACATCTTTTAACAGCTGAACATTGAGAAATTTTACATTTTCTAGAAAACAAATTATTATAAGTATTAATTAGTGATATTTAATGTAATGATTAACAAATAGAATTCAAGATATTATTTTATAACTAACAATAAATAAATAAATGCAAACGAGTGTTTGACATTAAAAAAACATGCAATTAATATTTTATTTTTTACTCGAAACAATTCAAAATTTCATAATTAAGTTGGCCTTATCATAAAATACATATCTTATAATAGTATCTCTTTAAGTCCAATGTAAATCATTACAAATAACATCCAAATGCAAAAGAAGTCCAGAACTCTATTAATGTTACATGAGACATAGTGATGAGTCTTATTTTAAATGCTAATTTACAATATTATTATATGATGAAAAACCATTGTCAAATTATGAAATAGAAATTAATATACAAAAAATTATAACACTCAATATTAAAAACATCTAAGTATTCAATAGCAGGGTTACTTTAACCATTAATTTTTGGTTCAGTTTCATAATTAGTTTTTAAACTTTATTTGTGATAAACGTTATATCAAGCTAGTTCAACAAACAATTTTAGATTGTAATGTTATAAACTAAATAGTGAACCAAACATTTTACTAGAAAAACATTCAAATTGTTTATATTTTTTGAAATGTTGGCAAAAAAAAAAAAATTTAAAAAAATTTAAAGTTCTTGTATGATAGACCTAATAAACGTTGTTAAGTTATTCATTCTTGTAAATTTAATTAGAAGAACGTTTTGAAATAATACATTCTTGAACATTTAATCAGAAGAACGTTTTACAAGCATATTTTCTCGAATGCCTTAAAGTTATAAGTTCTTGAATAACGTTTCTATTTCTTGAACGTTCTGAAAATGAACACAATTTTGAAGATGACCAAGTTCACATAGACGAAGAAAACAGTAACAATGTTTCTGAATGATCTGATGAAAATAATAATATAATAAATTACTAAAAAAATGAAAATAATCAAGAAACATTGCCTTCAATCTTCAACGATTTGGGTGCAGTAGTCAATACATCGAAGGTATTGAGAGTATGTGATGTGCTGCTCATACTTTACAACTATTGACTCAAGATGTATTTAAAATAGAAAGTATATCAACTATATATAAACAAATCATGGAGATTGGTGAAGCTGTTGAGATTACCAAAATATTTGGAAGCTCTCAAGAATATGGATATATTACTATATTATTACTCATAATAACTAATTACCTATATTATCATAATATTATATCATCTTATATTGTCAAAAATAAATGATCGACTATTGGATTTATTTTGGCTGAAGCTTCTTTAGTTCTTTCAAAGTCACATTGTGCTATTGGGGTATATTTTTAATCCTTATCTTAGTTATTAATAAAGATAAGAATAGATGTAATTCAAGTTTTAGATTTTGATATTAAAGTACTAATTATTCTTAAATAATTTTAAATTCAAAATAGTCAAAAGATAATTTTGATTCACAACATTATTTTCAAAGTTCGAAGAACATGTTAGCTTATTACGTTCTTTGCGTAATTTAAATTTAAGTTTAAAGTTATAATGTTTCTCTAGTAATTGTTAAAAGAACTTGATAGGTTATGGCGCTTCTCAAATCAATTTTTTAAAGAACTTTTAAGATTATAACGTTTTTCATGAAAAAGGTCAGTAAACTTAATAGTTTATATTGTTATTTCATATGAAGGACCAATAAACTAAATTAAATAATTGATTTCGTTCCATTATATTTTGATTTATGAACAACAATGTTTTTCAACCGTTTTTTTTTTACAATCCGTTCGGAAACCCTGTTCAATAGTTTTTTAAATTAAGTAATTTGAAAAGTTTGAACCTTAGATCATATATTGATTTAGAATTATAACTTACCTACATCACTTTCAGATTTAGTACTTGATGTTGTTATTTTTGATACATCAGAAGCTACTAAAAAATTAATGATTCAAATTAAATAATAATAATAAAATACATCATTCAACCAGAATAATTAAATTACAAAAAACATACATTGATTTTCAGATGACTTTGAAGTTGCTGCAAAAATCCTTGAAGGATTATCAATTGAAAATGAAGGTTTTTCTATTTTAACTACAAAAAAATGAAAACAAAGGTTAAAAATATATTTAATATATATATATATATAAATAAACTCACAGTTAGAAAAACCAATCTGAATATTTTCATTCTCAACAATAGACTTATGTCCATCATATTCATCACTATCATTATCAGTTTCATCAGATCCTTCATCACTTTTATCAGAATCATACTTCACTAGGCCAGCACTTTCTTCTCGCCATGTCAATGGTTTTTTTTGCAAAGAATTCTTGTTTGTAATATCAAATGTATTTGTATTGGAACCTGAGTTCAGTGAACCAAAAGATACTTCTGAAGTAGTCCCAAATGCAGGCATTACAAATGGAATTGCTGGCTGTGAATTAAGAGCACTATCTCCAAATTTAAACATGGATGAAAAAGATGTTTGTCCAAATGTAAAGCCAGAGGCAGATTTATTTTCGTTGGTTTCTTCAACTGATCCTGGTTTTATTGTACAGCATGCAATACATTTTACAGTACTTACATCATTTGACAGATAACATGCATCACAAGTCCATGAGCCAGGTTTAGGTTTAAATTGTGCTAAGTCATTTAATTTCGGTAAAGTCTCAACATTGGTATCTAGTTCAGTATTCAATTTTTTTTCAATTACTTTATCTTTAAAAGTGGAAATATTATTAATTTGATGAACTTTGTCTTTAACTTCATTAAATTTATCTCTGAATGCAGTAAGTTGCGGGGCCGATTTAAACCTAATAGCAAACAATTCTTTTTTGGATTCTCCATCAGAAAAATCTTGGCCAATCCATGACATTGCTTTATCTGAAGACGATACAGGTTTAAGTTCTAAATCAGCAGTTAACCTTTGATTACAGCAAATTTTATGTATTAATTCTCTTCTCATCAACAACTGATAATATCCATCATTTAGGTTGTGTAAAATTTTCATTTGGCCAATTCCTTTTTCTTTCCATTCTTTTGTGTTTGGATCATATCTAAGAAGCTTTGCTCGATCTTCAAATACAACCTCAAGACCTTCTTCACCAGTAACCACATCCACTTTCTCGGGCAAAGGAATAACTGGAACAAATTCTGCAGTAGGAACAAAATCTTCAGATTCATCATTTGGATGATTTGAAGAATCATTGGCATCTTTTATAGGAGATTTAATAATAGCATGAGGTGAAGGATTAGTTTTAACATTAAATATTGTACTACCTGCACCAGGAAAACCTTTAAAATCAGGCGAGTTTGTAAAGCCAATATTGGGTGAACTTTTAGCAAGTGTACTGAAGTAAGATGTTGCAGATGTTCCTGATGTTAAATCTAATTTAGGAGTAAACATTGCCGATTTATCTTTAGTTTCATTGAGTGAAAATAATGATTTTTCTGAAGACTTAGGAGTATTCTCAACAGAAAATAATCCTGGTTTTGACATATTAAAAGAAAAAGATTTGAAATCATTTGAATCAGTTTTAGTATCAACAGTTTTAGGTGTCAATAAAGATTTAAGGTTAGGTGTATTTGATTCCTCAACAGGTGTTGAAAAGTTTAAACTAGAAAACAATCCCTTAGATTTTTCTGGGGTTTTATCTTGTTCTTTAGGTGTAACAATCTCATTTATAATAGGAGGTACACTAAAAGTAAAACCACCCAATTCATGTTTAAGTGATTTTTCATTTTCCAAAGATAATTTTAAACAGGTACTGTTATTTGTTTCAATAACTGATTCATTATAAATGTCAGTAGTACTAGAATTATCTGCTAATGAATTATTGGTAGAACATGGTTGTTTATTTTCATTGAAAACTCGTGTAAACTCTTCACAATCTTCAACAGTCTTAAATCTTGCACATAAATTTTCTACTTGTACTTTAACAGCATCAGAAAAGTCATTAGCAGACCAAACAACAGCTTTATCACCTTTTGATTTTAGTTCCATATTACTATATAAGAAATGATTAGCACAAACTTTATGTACCTGTTCTCGTCTCATTACCAACCTCACTTTATCTGTATCATTATTTTTTAATATTTTTAACTGACCAATGCCTTTTTCCTTCCATTCTTTTTCAACATATTTATATAATTTTGCTCTTCTTTCAAATAATATTGTATCATTTTCTTCTCCAGTTACTTCTTCAATTTTATTAGGTAATGGTATTATAGGCTGAAATTCTGGTATAGGATCATGTTCTTCAGTATAACTATCATCTGTAGCTGAATTTCTAGATTTATTTAATGAAGCTTCAAAACTCTCTTTAAATTTTGATGAGGGGTTTAAAGAAAATACTTCATTGCTTATTGGTAAGCCAATAGATGATGTAGACTGAACAGTAGGTACACTATGTGCTATAACTGACTGAGATTGGATATTAGTCAGTTGACTATTGAATTTGAAAGGACATGACGGTTGAGCTTCAGATGTTGTGTTACTACTAAGAATATGATGTGTCGGTATAATAACACTAAGCGGTGGCTGTGATACTGGAGGACCAGTTGGTAAAGTATCAGATGATGTGATGTTAACATTTGGATTAGGAGCCATTGCATTAGATTGACTAACCTGATTATATAATCCAAACTGCTGAAAAGGTAAATTGGAAGAATATTGCAGTTGAGGAGCTGTAAAAGTTATGGTAGACATTTGAGTTGGGTCATTAAATGAATTTTGATTACAAGATACTGGATCGAAGGTTATTTTATCAAATTCTTCTTCATTTTCTGGATAAACATCATATAAATCATCATGTCTGACTTTAATGATTTCATTCATAGCATTAATTCTTTCTGTCAAATTATCTTCTAACTTATCAATTCGTTTAATAAGTACTAAATCAGTCACAGGCTTATGAACAGCAGTAGATGTAGAATTAGAATTAGAAACCTGACAAGATAACTCATTAATTTTATCGAAAATTGAATCCTTTGTGTTGTTGAAATGATCTAATAGTTTATCAACTTTTTCAGACATTGATCGTAATGTCTCTATCATATTATAATATTGTAATCCCAAAGTTTGACACTGAACATTCTGTGATTGTACGGCTACTTTTAATTCATTTAATACTTTGACATCAGTTTCATCATCTAAAATTTTCCGGCTCTAAAATTAAAAAGTAATAGGTTAAAAATCAACATATACTTACATAAAACCTGAACTTATACACTTACTGAATTAAGCGATGATTTTAAAGGAGTACTAGTAATATTATTCAATGAACGATCACCAAATTTACTATAAATTTTCCTCCTAGATATGTTGGTTGTGTCATTATCATCAACAGATATGTTTAAATGTTCTTCTAAATACATATGAAAAAATAAAAATGCATTCAAATAATTTATTTAAATATATACTTACGATTATTAATTGTCCCATTTATATCAACATCCAATTGTAAACCCAACATTTCTTCCTTAAGTTGCAAGTGTAATGGGTGTTGAGGATTTTTGTTTAAGCGTTCTTTTGTAATATTCAATAATTCCTTCACTTTAGTTAATATCATATTATTTGCCTCTGATAATGCATCTCCCAAAGAATTTTCATCTTCTGCTTTTACCATTTTCTTATAAATCTATAAAACACATTTTAATTAATAAGCAATATTTTAATAAAAACAAATTTTAACTGACCATTGCTTGATAAAAAGATGCATATGGTGATTTCAATTTTTTAAATGCCTCAATTGCTTCTTCATTTTGGTCACTGTTCATTAATTGACAAGCTAAATAGAATCTACCTTCCTCTAAATATTCATTTACTTCTTCACCGGTTAATTTTTTTTTAAAAATGAAAATATAAAAATAATTATCAAATCTACATTACTGAATATTAATAATATTAGAATTGTGGTAAAACCTACCTGTAAAATTCAAATAAAGTATTTTTCGGCCGATTATCAATTCCATTTTGGTTAATGCGTTCAAGTAACTGAATAGCCATTTTCCAATAAAGTACAGCTCTTTTTTCTAGTCCTCCTTTTAAAAGGAAGTTATCCATTATTTTATTGGCCTTAAAAAAATTGATATTTGTTAGATTATATAGTTTTAATGGATAAAAAAAACTCATGAATATTGTGAATAATTGATATCTTCACTCTAGATTTTTGATTAATTTTTTATTATTTTATTTGGATTATCTAATTTAAAATTGTATACAAACTATGAGCAAGTATTATTTATTAAACATCAGTTGTTCTTGATCTTTTTTAGAACACAGACCCCGATTAATTTTTTTTAGAGATTGCAGACCCTTTATCAATTTTTTATTGAATACCATTTTTTTTACAAAACATATGATGTTATTATAACCAAAATTATAATATATTATTTTATATTAACAATTACAGAAGTACACATAACAAAATATACACATTTATAATTATTTTTATTAAACTTAATTTTTAATAAAATTGTAATATAAATTTCAGTACTTGTATAATATGCTACTTAACGTAAAATGACACCTACAGAGATTATTTTGATCCACAACTGTGTTAAGAGATTTTGTTGGACATTTTTTGGTCATCGAAACCATTAATATTATACATTTAAAACTATTTGCACTTTATAAGCTGGAGTTAAGATTTACTCCAAAAATAATTTAAAATAATCACGATCATAGTAAAAAGTTAAATATTAAATTTATTACCTGACTAGCAAAGTTTTTGGCCAAATGCACCATTAATTTTACATCCATTCCATGATTTCCTATCAACCTAATTGACTCTAAACCTTGAATAGCTGCTTTTCTTAACTGTGATACATGTTTAACATCAACATTTTTTGTATAAATTTTATACATTGATTTCCACCTAAAAATACAATTTTTATTAAAAAAATTTGAACAAAAATAAAATTATTTATTCCAATTGATTATGATATTCAGTTTTGTAATATATTAGTAAAAATCAGTAGTCAATATAAATATTGTCAATAATGTAACTTAATAATTTACTTTCAGAACCTTTTAAATACAAGATTATGTTCGTTCCATACAAAAATGCTTACCAGTTCTCCTGTTCTGATGTTGTCAACTGATCTGTAATATTAGATGGCAATGTTTGTGGTGCTTTTGGATCATTTTTTTGATATTGGTTATCAAGAAATGAAGCCACACTAAAAACTAAAAAAAATATTACAGATTACAGTATAATATAAAAAAAAAATAGTTAATATCTTAACACAATTTTAATCAAATAATTTACCACAATAACTACAAATAATATTTAAAATAACTTGAAAACATTTAATATTTTATTCACTCATAACAGGAATATTCAAGTAATTAGTTATTAATTATTGATTAATTTTAATTAATTATTTACACTAATTTTTACTTATCTTAAAGAAAAAAAGAAGAAAACTTTAGATTAGATAAGAATCCACAATCGGAATTGATCTATGGATGCATGAATAGTATTGCTGATTGGCCCTTAAAACTTGTAACCAATGTACCATTGCTCTCAAAAATACGATTCTGAGTGAAAATTTTTTTTTTCAGTTTATAATTTTAAAGATAATTATAGTAGTAGAATTAAATGAAAGGTAATTTGAACTTTTAATGTTTAGCTTTTACAAAAAAAAAAAAAAAAAAATATATAAAATAAAATAATTTTACATTTTTTAAGAAAATTCAAGTGCTCATTAACAGCACAAACTTCATTAAAATAACCAATTTTGTCAACATTAAATTTGGTACACTTATCAATAATTTTTACAACTTTTCAATATTTTTTTGTTTGTTTTAACTCCAATGAGCCTATTATTATTATATTATGAATTCAACGAAAACAAAAAATTGATTTTGTTATAAACCAATATGTGTCATGAATTTTGTAGTGTTTCTATAATAATTCATCAATTAGGCACAATTTAGAAACTATTTAGAAATTTGTAAAATTATTTGCCTGGTAATACTAAAATTTCCTATCAGAAATCTCTTAATTTTTATAATTAAAATGTCTGTAAAAAAATTCATGGTACCAATATTTTTATACCAGGCACTACAGCTGTTAAGATGAAAAATTTATGTAATTTTAAATCTTCTTAATCTAATGAATTATTATAACCTAATAACTTACCTGTAGCATACAAAAATGTGTTCATATCTATTTGACATATTGATTCAATGCTGGCAGATGCAAACGAATTAGTAGTCAATGGTAATTCTTTATAACTTTTACATCCAAATCCAACAGGAAATACTGTATCTTTAGTTAATCTTATGTCACATCCTTTATTATCACTTTCTAATAGTTGTATTCCGTACCAAACTAAATGATGCAACGAACCCGGTTGACTCATTTCAAATGCCAACACTTAAAATTAAAATATTATGTTACATAATTTTCTTGAGTTATATAATAGTAAAATTAATAAGTTACTTACTATGTTTTGGTACCGCATATTGTATTAATTCTGGAATATTATAAACTAATTTGTCAGGAGAATAATGAACAAATAATGAAGTTGGCATTCCTTCAGCATATTCTGGACTGTTAAATATTTTCTATGACAGCAAAAAAAATTTAAATTAATAAATTATAAACATTATCTTCTTTAATTAAAAAATTAAAATAAATTAAAATATATAAATATAATTTTATAATCAGAATAATGTAGAAATATTCTATAAATATGCATAAATAGAAGAAAACCATAATAAAGAAATTAGGTATTAGTTGCTATTGAATTTCGTACCTTACTTAAAACAAAATAAACTGTTAAGTCATCATTTTTTTGAATTCAAAATATTGTTTACATATTTATCTTTCTAAGATAACTTTAATAACTAAGACATTAAGGTAGCTACTAATTTATTTATAAATAATTTAATATAGATAATTTTCTATTTTTTCTGATATATTATTTTAATTTTATTACTGAGATGAAACAGTTAGGCAAGATGAATCACTAATAGATACTTGTAGTTTCTAGAAATGAAAGAGCAACTAGATACATCACAGACATCTCTACTACTATATAAAAATGTAAGGGATTTTTTACGACCACACGAACCAAGAAAACTACAGAACCGATTTGGCTGAAACTTTTTACTATAATACCTGACAGTCTTAGTACCACTTTTGTTAACAAAAAATAAGTATAAAGGCCCACCCCAAACGTATAAATTGTATACTTATAATATAGGCGGTATTGGCTTCATATCCATTGCAACTGTAAATTGTAAATATCACATATTCTTATTGTAATAATAATATTGTTTGTACCTAAATTAAGTTAAAAATGAGGCGCAAAGAAGTCAATTTGAGCTCTCGAACAAATGCAGCAATAAACATCAGAAATATAAAAAGGGTACAATCTTTGAACGCAATAAACAACAATTGAAACAAAGACAAGTACATCAGTTTATATGAAATTATACTGGCACTGAGTAATCACACATTCATCACAACTGCTCATAAAATATAATTGGAGAACTTTTGGATCATCAACAGGCACTGGCTTCAATTGCTCATTTAAGCCCTATCCGATCAATTGATGCTTTCCTTTCTTTTTTTCGTAACAAAAGGTAGCTTATGTTTTTCTCCAAAGTCTATTCTATCTCCATACCCAATTTCATTAAAATCAGTTAAGTAGTTTTGTCAAACACATATCACAAACCAGGTTGTATATTATATTAACTGTAACAAATATTTAATTTATTTGGTCCCTTTTAAAAATTATCTTTCCTAGTTGAAACAATTATAAATACAACAAAAAAATCAGTCAATTGTGTGTCAAACTAAACTCAAGTTATTCACTTACATACATAGGACGATTCATTATATATACAGTTGACTCTCGATAATTTGGAGTTGATAGGACAGTTGAAAAATTTTGAATTACTGAGTTTGAATTGTTGAGTAGTTCGAAAAAATCAGAGCAAAAAAAAAAAAAATTTGAATTACTGACTTAAGAGAAAAATTTTGTTTTTTATTATTGTACATAATTATTAAATACTTCAGAAAATTAGGTGGTATTAATTATTTATTGGTTTTAAAATTTAAATTTGAACTACATAATAATTAAATTATTATTAAAAAAAAAAATGATTTTTTTGAAGAAATCTGTAATGATTTTCTGCTTCATTAAATTGAGTTTCATTTTTTCAATAGTATTTTTTGAATTTGACATACTCACTACAAGAACTTTACAACTGACCAAATGAAACTAAAATGAAACTATATTCGGCTGAAGGCTATCAAAGAGATAAATTACAATTAGTGACGATTAAGAAATAAAACGATAAAGTTCTTACAATATTAATTCTATAGTTATCGAAAATAATATGCTGAATTTCTACATGATTATATAGTAAATTATTAACAAAAAGATTATAAGAATACAGATAAAATAAATTTGGTGAATATACTTTAAATTGCCAAGTGTTGAACAAATGATACTTCAAATTGTCACGTGTAAGTTGCAAATTTTCCCAAAATTTAATTTTGAATTACCAAGTGTACTTAAATGCATTGTTTTTATTTGAATTACTGCGCAATTTTTAAGGGACCAAGCATTTACTTTTAATTATCGAGAGTCGACTGTATATAGTTTTATTAAATATTATATTATTATATCCTACATTGAAAAAATTTGCTGATAAATCCGTTAAATGCAAGAAATTACTATGTTGCAAGACTCAATTTTCTATGCACCATTAAAACAAGATTAAATTTGATACACACTGGTAAGGTTTAATATTTATAAACGACTGAGCTATGTACATATTATATACTATAGTACAAGGGCAGCAAACCTTTTTTGGTTCAAATGCCAAATTTTTCCAATTAAGACTTTGAAAATCTGTCATGTGCCCAAAGAAAATTATAATTTCTAAGAATAAAAGTAAAATTACAAATTTATTACATTATTTTTATTAAATTTTAGTCATTCTTATTAAAACACAAGCAGAAATTGTTTCATCAGTCAAAACATTTCTTCTATTTAATTAAATTTGTTATTACAAATAAGATTTCCCAAACAAAAGTTACGAAAAATATAAAAGCATAAGAATATTGTTATTTTTAAATAAATATAATTTGTTTCTTTGAATTTCATATAAACAACATTTTATAAATAGTATATACATTTTTTTTTTGTGTATAATTTTTATTAATTTCAATTTTTTGCGCATGACATTAAAATTTGGTCAACACATGTCATAGGTTTGGCCCCCTTCTACAGTATGTGGTCGTTGAAAACGAGGATCTTATACTTCAAAAACCATTTCAATGTATTTGAAAATTATTAAAATAAGAAAAATAAAAATAATTATCATTAATCACTAATTATAATTAATTTAATTTAATATTTTAATTAATAATCTAATACATTTAATATATTAGGCTTAGGGACTTCTAGCATTTGCATACTTTTTTTAATTATAGTTAAATATAGCAGAGTGCGAAATAAATTCGTTTCTCGGTGCCATGATATCAGATCTAAAATTTGAATGTGCATATTTTTGCATATTTGATAGATTTTGTAGAAGAGTGCTTATTTTAACATTATTATACTTAATTTGCATATTTTGACAAATTTCTCAAATTTTATTATTTAAAATTAAAAACTATATATACATATTTCAGCAGATTGAAAAAAAAATGTACTAAGAAGACTTTTAGTAATATGCCATCTGCAAACTACCTCTCATATCTCGTAAAAATTTTTGTGTAAGTATAAATAATACTATAAAGCCATATCGACCGTATAATCCACTGGATATTGACCGGATGTCGATAAAGATAATTGTCGATATACAATAATAGATTTTTTGTCTAATGTTCAGTTCAGTCACAGACTTCTATACTACAGTAGTATAGAAGTCTGTGAGTTCAGTTGATTATTATCCGTCATTGTTTTTGCGTCCATACATGCAACATTGAATCATATGTAAAACGTCGTACACGATAATTTGTAATATAGTGTTATGCCAAAATTACAACAATCTACGAGTAGCCGACTACAACATTTTGTTTCAGAGTTTAAAAATATATTTAAATCCGATGGATACGTTTTATTTTGTGTACTCTCTGGTAATTTTTTTTTTTTTTTAATGCATATAAATGCATATTTTAATAATTTTAGAAGCATATTTATGTATTTTTTAGAGCTATAAGTCCCTAAGCCTAATTATGTACTTATATTGTATTTTTATACAATACATATATTTTGATAAAATTAAATACATACATATATATGTGCATATTTTTTCATTTTAAATACATATAAATCCACGTCCCAATAAGTTAATACACTCCAATATATTATGAAACAATTTTCCAGATAAAAAAAAAAAATTATACCTAAATGTTATTACAATGAATAAAAATACCTTGTAATTTGTAGTTTTCCAGTCATTAACACACAATAATTTTATATTGTCAATAAAATTATCATCTTCTTTAATCATCATTGCTCGTAAAATAAAGCCACTTTCAATTATCCTCCTAGTACCATGTAATTCCCATAATACAACATTTGATTTTTGTTCCCTACTGAATTCTTTATTAGATATACTCTCAAATGCTTGTTTATCTATTGGTGGAGCTAAGGACATTAAAAATAACGGTGCAGCTAATTGGTTACTCTTTTTCCAAGATATTGAATTTTCCTAAAAATGCGAAAAAAATAAAACACTATAATTTTTACTTAATATTTGTAAAGATATAGTATTATCTAGAATTAAAAAAAATCAAGTTAATTACTTTTTTAGCTGATTTCATTATTACACTAGCTAAATGAAAATAAAATTGATTTGATATATGCTGTATAAGGCTTCTGTAAAATTCTGTTTGAGGTGATGATAATTGAATAGCTTTATATAAAGCCTGATCAAGTCTAAATAAAAATAAAATTATTATTTTAAGTTAAAACTAATAAAAAATAGAGTAAGTATATACCTAAAAAGAGATTTATAGCAATCAGATACACTTTTTTGTTTGCTTGTTTTTGTTTCCATGATTAGTAAAGAAACATTATGTTCAAAAATAGGTAATACTCGTGAATAGAATTCCCAATTTATAGAATTTGAAGTTCCATAGGCCTATTAATTTAATTTGAAATATAAAATAATAATAATTATTTAACATAATAATCATCAATAATACTTACTTCACATATCTGAGAAATAGCTTCATACCATTCAACATTATCTTTTTGAAACTTACAAGTTTTTTCAATATTTATTGCATATGAAAAAGCTTCAAACAAACGCCCTGAATTTTCATATAATTTTAACTGTTTTATTCTAAGATTCATGTCATCTGGTCTAACAGATATTTCAGCTAGAAATAAATGAAATAGCAATTTTTTTGAAGTTAAAATTCTTAACTGAGGGTTAAACAAAAATATTTAGTCACATGACCGACTGATCAGAATGAAACAACTTAACGACACGCTAATAAGGTGCATGCGTGTTGCATATCTACTACGCAACGGTCAGTATACTATCCCACCATTTTTTTATTTTCTAAGCCCAATTTAGCAGGTATTGGAATTAGAGACCCCGGACCCATGGGGATCTGAGTTTTTATGGCCGCAAAGTAATTTCCCCATTCAGGAACCAAAGCCCCCATCCACATAATTTTAAGTTGGCTATAACTCAGTGGGGTTTCAATCTAATGACTCCAGACCAACTGGGAACCGTTCTGGAGGTGCAGGACTACAGGTTTCCGCTTTAGGGAACAGGGCACCCCCCCTTTTTACTGTTTTTCTATATTTCTTTAAATATTATTTTAAACCACTTACACATTTTTTCCGAAATAAACTTAATTTAATAATGATCCAATGACACCAACAACAAGATCAGGAACTACGATTGATGTGATTTTTATACGGTACCTACTTAATGTACAATCAAGAACTTACATATCTTATTTCAGCTATCATACACCAATAATATATACTTTTCCAAAAGAAATATCTACAGACGAATCCTCCGATGAATACATGGAAATTGATGTATTAGAATAAGTTCATTCTATTTCTTTGTTTTTTTTATATTTTTTTAGATAAAAAACTATATAGTCTTGAAGATAAAATAAATAAATCCTCCAACGAATACATGGAAATTGATGAATTAGAATAAGTTTATTCTAATTCTTTGTTTTTTTTTTATATTTTTCTAGATAAAAAACTATATAGTCTTGAAGATGTACACCACACCTATCACTATTAAATATTTCAGATTGTCATATTTATTTTCTAAAAATAGACAAACATTCTTATAAATGTATGGTATGCTAGATATAGGACCTCCATGTAGTGCATCCCCGGTAATGCAAACAATATATCGAAAAAATTCTACGAGCAATAAGCCTCGATTTAAACATGTTAGCTGTAATGGACCCGAACTATTATTCCAACCTGTCGGTCATGTCACTAATTTTTTTCTTGTACCCTTAAATAAAGTAGTTTCATTCAAACACGCGTACTTGGAACACACACTTTTTTTTTAATACAACAAATATATGAGTATAAATGTATAGACGTACCATTGAGTAAACTCTCTACTTTAGAAGGATCACAATTTTCATTAGATAACAATAATCGTTCCTTTAGTTTATAAACTATTGGATGATAAGGGTATAAATCTTCTGTTTGCTTACATATTCTTTCAGCTTGAACTTCATTTAATTTAACAGATGGATCAATCATTAACTCACAACCTAAATAAATTATTTTACAATGTAAAAATATAAATAATAATATAATATAAAAATTTAGATTTTTTAATAAACTTACAAGATAATAGTAATTCCGGTTGATTTGGTGATGAAGCCAAAGATTTTTGATACTCAATAACAGCTTTTTCTTTATTTCCAAGTTTATCATAACAATGACCAAGCAAACGTCGTCCTTCAGGTGAGTTTTCATTTGCACTCAAAAAAGTAATAACATATTGTTTTGCCAATTCAAATTCAGAAACTTTGAAATACATACGAGCAATAGCTAATCCTTTAAGCTTTTTCTGTAATTTTAAAGTAAATATTCAATAGATTACTACGTATATGAATTTGTTAATACATCAAATTCAATATTACCTAAACAAAATTGTAATTTTTATTTAATTAATAATCTAATGCTGAAATCTATGATATTAATAATATGAAAATAGTAAAATAAATAAAAAAAATGTGAGTTTTCGATTCCAGTTTGAGATGATGTCTAATGATAAATGTGTCTATAAAAGTAGGTAGTATATAAAAGCTAGATTTTGTTTAAAAAATAAAAAAAATTTTTGAAACTCAATTTTTAAATTTGAGTGAAATGAGGAATGTATTAGTAATAGTAATAGGCCTTTCATTGCAGTATAAATATGATTGACTTGTTACGCATAAATAAATAACTATTAGTCTACTAACCTCATGTTCGTTGTTGTTTAGCTTGTTAAACAACTCTTGCACATATCGATCAATGTCTTTTTTAGACCGGTACAACACGGCGTTCCCAACGCCTTTCATTTTTCCTTTGGATTAGAAACAATACAAACAATACCGCATACAATAACAAAAACACAGTTTCAACAATTAAGAATTATCAAACAAACCACCAAAAATTAATACGACAGAAATTTTCAATGGAAGTTAATGAATATTCGGATTGTTTCGTAAATAAAAGTGTAAGAATACACAAAAATCACAACGTGAGATTAATCAGCACATGATAGATGGCATACGCTTAGCCGCTAAAATGTTAAACACCTACTCATATAAACTATGTTCCTTCAACAACGGTTTTCAACCAATGGTTGTCAAATTGTGAAACCAGTGTGATCAGATAACACGACTCAGAATCAGTGTAGCCAGCTCTGTTTTGATAATAGGTCTATGCTAGAGATGAGATTCAGTGTTGCCTTTTTAGCTGTTTTATAGCTAGTTCTAGAATTTTTCAAGTGTCTTCTAGTTTCCAATAATTTGCATTAATATTTGCAATAATTTGTCATATTGCAGGAGGATACAAACAGCATTATTTATTGAACAATTTTGCTTATTCAGCTATTTTTGTTGCTGTCCCATTACAATTTAAATAATTATATTTTTTAGATCTACATATAGTTATATAGAATAGTTATTTTATAAGTTTTATCTATTTTTGTTATTTTTATTTATTATATAGTCAAGGAAGACTGATTTAGATGGACCTAACTTATAAAAATCATTATTATATTTATTCAGGTGTTATCTATATTTGTTTTATTATTTTATTATTAACTGTTATTAACAAGAAAAACAATTATTTTATAATTTATAATATGGTTACTAATTACTATACTAGTGTTATAACATTTTTATTTAAAATCTGTTTAATAATATTTGAAATTGTCAAGTTATTTTAATAAAATTTGATAAATTAAAATAAACAAATTATTATTATTCTCCTTGTTTGTTATTAAAAATACTTTAACACGACTGTATTTATTAAGTAATAAGCGATATAAAATTATAAATTGAACAATATATTTATAAAGCAAGTCGAAATAGTAATAGAAAAAGTAACAACAAATGATTATCATAGGCGTGTTTACGGTTATAGACTTGCAAAATCCTGCTCAGTTTTAAATTTATGCTTAAATCATTAAAAATAATTACTAAAAAGTAAAAAGAATGATTGAATAAAACAAAACTAAATAATAAATATTTTCACATAAAATATTATATATGTATAATATGTCTGTGACAAAAACTAACCAATAATATTTATTCTCTAATATCCATAGTTATAAGTACCCGTGTAGTTCTAGTTGTATTTGATGTTATATACCTTTTATTTTTTTAAAGAGATTAATTATTATTTACTAGCTATAGTTAATGTAGTAGCAACAATTACTACATACGTTCTCAAAGTATATTGTGTATAAGTCTCTTTGTCTTCGTATCCTAAATGAAAATTTCAATTTTCCTAATGAAAAATGTTATTGGCCATACCTGCACGAAATTTTCAGATGCGCCTATGATTCTTATATGTAATACATATGTATATATTACAAAATTGGTATCACCCCCCCCCCTGAATCCGTATTTAAGGAATCGATCATATATGAGAGGGCACCAAAACGTTTTTATAACGTTAAACTATTCAAAAAGGGATTGAAGTCCATAACAGATAACGAAACAGAAACGAAAAACAATTAAAATTAATATCCAATAACATAACAGAAAACGATAAATGATTGAAATATAAAAGAAGTTGTCATCGAAAAATATTTAAAACCATCAGTAAAATAGATTTGGAACATGGTTATTTTTGTAAAATTGACTTAAATTACTAGGTAATCTAAATAACATATATATAAAAAGGATGTTTAAAACAGCAATCTATTCATCAACTAATAATATATAAATTAACATTACCAATTATAATTTATAAATATGTTTTCTGAAAATATGTCGGATATTGTCAGCGCGGAAACCGTATGGCCTGCCTCATCAAAAATAATTTCAGTTAACACCGATAAAACATTAGTAGTAATAACAGTGCTCCAAAAAGCGAGTGTGTAGAGTGTGTCGCGCACAGGGCCCCAAGGTTTACAAAAATTTGGGGGCCCCCTAGTCCCAGCCTGAAATAAACTACACTTTACTAACACGCAATTATTTAATAATAAAAATAATTTGTTTTTTAATTCAGGTAAGGTTGTTATAATATTTTAGAATAATATAATATTTATTTAACAATGAATCCATTGAGTATTTGAGTAGGCATACAAACATACCTACCTAAACTACTTAAATTTACTACATAAATATGTAATGAAGTATAATATACAACAGTTATAGGTATTTAGTTTGATATATCATACACTTACTGATATGAATCGTGTTTTAAAACCTAAAAAAAATTGATACTTAAATTGAACAAAAATAAATCCTAAGAAAGGGCCCAATATAATTATCGCACATGGGCCTCCTATTTTGTAGTTGCGACACTAGTAATACACCATACATAAGTTATAAATTAACAATAAATACATATTTTACATCGTATGTGAATTTTATTGTTGTTATACAACAAATATGATTACTTTATTTATAAGTTATGAGTTATGAGAATTACAAAAAGAAAATATCGTTAAAGGAATAGATGTATTGGTATGCGGGTATATGGCGTATACACTCAGCAGATTTTCGATTTTCAGGGAATACCTAATGTAAAATATTATTTTATGGGTATACGCTTCTAAAATAATTCGAAAACAAAAACACAAATAATAATTTAATAGTTCATTGGAAAAAATTGTTATGGACCATGAAATTGATTGAAATATTTAGCTGTTGAAGATTACAGTGTACCTACGCTATGTTTAATGTATTTTGTTAACTGTATTGAATAACATTAAATAAAATAGTATGGAGTGTGAATATTCAGCCCATAGTTTTTAAATCTGCATCATGCAATTTATAACGCGCTGCAAATGTATATTTTATGGTGTTATATTTTATAGTCTTAATAGAAGTTATAAAGGATTAATTAAATTTTTTCGAACGTTTCGAGAGAAAATAATAATTGTTTGTCCAAATTGACAATTATTGTCGAGCAAAGCAAGAAAATTTATTTTAGGATTAATATCCATATTTTTTTAGTGTAAACCCACAAATACACCACTGGTTAAAGGTAATATGTATAATATATTATTTAAAATATGTTATGTTATTTTACATAGTATTCATTGCTAAATACTACATTTGAAAACGTTTCAAATTTTACACTAATTTAAATAATGCAAAACGCTAAATTTTTCATAGCGTTTAAACTGTCAATAATGGTAAATGGAAAATTTTTTTAACGTTTAAACACTTAAATTGTTTATAGCGTTAAACGCTCAATTGCTTATAATGATTAAATGTCCTATAACGGTAAACAATATATATTATTTTGATTTAAGCCAGGGTCCATACTTAATGAAAATCAAATAAGCAAGCGAAACTTTCAAAAAGCAGATGTGTGTTAAAAAAGAACTACACAAAAGTCCATTTTAAGTGAATTCGGCATTAGATTAAAAAAAAAAAAAAAACCACAAATATTAGGGATTCACCTGATTTAAATATTATCAAAAATTTTACTTGTAAATTTTGAGTCTGAATTAAAGAAAAAATTTGAGTCCCCCCCTAGAAGTAAGTAAAAAGACATCCCTGGTATTGACCATTTATAGGGGTCCGATAATAGATATTTTATTAAATAATTTTGATTACTTGATCAGCGTTCATTATAAAATAAATTCTAATAAAATAAATGTTTTATCTTACCACATATTTGTTATACTTAATTTATTTTGGGCATATCTTTGTGCATATACGGTTATTTTTAGGTACATATTTAAGTATTTTTTCAAGCTACAAATCCCTTAGCCTAGTCATAACACAATATTATCGTTAAGGATTGAGAAATTGTATTTATTTAAATTTTAAAAATGATACAGTTAATATAATTGTTTTATAATTTAAAAAAAAATATATTTGTTTTTATTATATGAATGATTACATATTTGATTCCTCCAATATTGGGTGATAACGAGTAGGTAAATTAAAGTATGAAACATTTTAAATGTTTCTTCCTTCAAAGCCCAAGCCTAATCATTATTTACTTGGCCTACCCTATGACAAATGTCTGCGCATGCCTATGTTATAAATAGTTAAACATTTAGTACTGCATTGTATAGGAATTTGGTTAACAGTTATTATTGATCTCAAGTCCAGTTAACCTATATTTATTTTAGTTTATAATTTTAATAACATATAAAATCCTAAAAACATAATTTGATCTATTTTTAATGTACCAATGAGATGGTTGGCTAACTTTTCTATATTAATTATTAAGATATCAATAGGTATCATATTTTATTAAAAATGCTAACAATATTTTTAAAAATTAGTAATAAAATAATATTATTTCTAAGTATTTTTATTTTTTTTATATTTATTTAAAATAATGAATTAATGGTTATAAGGTGTGACTAGGAGTTTCAATTATGTAATTTATTTTAATTTAACTAAAGCCTAAGAGTGAATAATTGTAATATCACTAACTATTAGGTAAACTCATAATTTATTGATAACATTTGGTATTAGTATTCACTGAAAGGTTAGGGAGTGGTAAAGTGATTTGTAGATACTTTAAATAGTGAGAACATATTATTATTTATAAGGAAAACAGCCTAATTTAAATAAATACAATACACACACACACACACACACACACACACACATTTATATATAAATATATATATATATATATATACACACATTAATAAATTAAAAAGTATTTAGCATAACTTTTTTAAGAATATTAACACAATTAAAATTAGGATTGAAAGACGAGTGTTTTTATTTCGAAAAAACAATACTTCGAGTCTAGTCTAAAATTATTCACAATATCTTAATTATGTAATCGAATGACGTAGATATTGTTAAACAGGTAAACACACAACAAGCGAATCACACGAATAAAATAAATTCGGAAAAATAAACATGGAAAGGCTTGTGTTTGATTGTTTTCCGTTTGCAACAGAGGAAAAACAAATAATAATAAAAGAAAAGAATACACTGAGAAAAGAGACTAAAAATTCTTATTTATAATTACAAGGAACAGAAACTTGGTCGATCACGTTCAACAACACCGAATAAACTTCAAGAGGTATAATAATAATAATGATAATAATAATTGTTATTTAAAAAATAATAATATCAATAACAACAGAAAATAAATAAATTATAATTATTATATCCTTATGTTGTTTGATAAATGTAATATCGACTCAATAAAAACGTTTATTAATTTACGAACTGAGGTATATATTTAAAGAAAATTTCTTCAGTCTCTTTTCTCAGTTGGTCTTACAAATTATTAAGTATTTACATCTAAATTATGTTATTTTTATGAACACACAAAAGAAAAAAAAAGAAAAAGTTAGAAATTAAAAACCGAGTATAACAGAAAGTGTAAACTGTCCATATAGTTTACATTACAACAATAAGTATCCATTTTAATCGGTTTTAATGAAAAATTTCATAACGAGACCTATTTTATATAGTTAACATCAAAGTTCGTTTTTTTTAATGCTAAATATTATGTAATATTGTTTATTATAAATCTAATGGCTGAGTTGCATAAAATAGATTCAAAACAATTTAGGAACCCCTTTAATAAATGGAAAACGAGTATTTAAATAATTCAATGGACCATCAAAATTGTGTGCTCTTATAGATTTATGCAAACCAACCTATATATTATTAACAATAATAATGGAACTAACTAAAATAATAGTACTTGTATTATAATGAATGTTTAATATAATGTAACATATTAAAAAAAATTATACAAGGTTAGGCTGCAAATATCACTCATATCACATATGCCGTTCCAACGGCTATTGCCGTAAGCCATATTTTTTTTTTTTTTACAATACATTGTGAGAATACAAACATATCCAAACGCTTTATCAGCAAACAAGCTACTTGCATTTTAGGAATTTTCTTATTTTTAGATATAACATATTTATGTACAAAAAAAAAAAAAAATTAAAAAATATGATTTCACGAATAAAAAAAAAAAAATTATATAAATTTACAAAATGTGCGCCCTGGAAGAGTTGATGGGTGGGGGTGGTGGGCTGGTGAGATCGTAAGTCTGCATCACCGCGGTGGACGGTCCGTTTCAGCTTTGTTTGACACGTTTCCGAGGCGGACCAATTGGCGGTATTTGCTGTGTAGCTAGCGCGCGAAACGCTTCTGCTATTAGGTGTGGGTGCGACTGTATCATGGTTTTCCAACCAGTGGTATCCATCACATCGGTCGCATGACTAAATACAAACAAAAAATACATGTGATATTTATTATAAAATGAAATTTTTCTATATGTTGTTGCAGTGGCGGATTAGGGGGCAGACTAAAAGGCTTATAGTCTAGGGTGGCTTTTTTTTTATAGAATTAAGTGTTATTATTGATTTATTAGGCATATTTATTTTAATAAATTTTTTTTATATTTTTCATATAAACATGAATAAAAATAATTTTAAAAAGTTATAATAATATATTAATATGTACATTGTATGATGCCGTACCTATAGGCTGTAGTAAGAATATTACAATTATTATTACAATTTGAAAATATTTCATTTGTAATAAAATAATTACAGTTAGTTACTTTTTTATAGTTATTATTAATAACTTATTAGTACCTATGTACTATTGGGAACATCCGACTATCCGAGTATAGGTATTTTCATATTTGATTATTAATATTTCCGTTATGTGACTGTATAAGCATTGTTTATTTGTACTGGTAATAATGGTATCTGAAGTAAAATAATAGACATGAAATATTTTATTTTTAGAAGTTTTCTATTTTAAAGATTTTATATTTTATATTTTTTTTTTTTTTTTTTGATAAAAAAACTGAATAAAATTTGAAAAGAAGGGTTTAGATCAAATATTGTTGGTTCCTTAGTAGAGCGATAGGGGGGGGGGGCAGAGTGATTAAGCCTAGGGGCGCTAAAATACTAAATCCGCCACTGTGTTGTTGTGTTGAACAGTATTATTACAACTATAATTCATAAAAGTATTATACCAGCACACTGCGGTACTAAAATAACAATTAACTCACGTGTTAATAAACTCGATGGTTTGTACTTTGAGTTGGTCCGCACTGTGTAGGTCAGCTAGTATTAATATATCAGCTGCGTTGTCGATCGACAGATTATTACATAGTGCTTCTTCGCACATGACTTTCAGCCTCTCTAAAGCGTACTATAATAGAAGAACAAAAAATAACAATGAAAATACGTCACTACATATTTGTTAGGAAAAAAACGCTTTTGATTGTTCCAACCTTGTCTGCGGCCGCTAACAAATCGTCCGCCATTCTTTCCAAGTTTGCTGCTCGACCGGTGTAGATAAACCGAAGCATTTCTCTAAGAACTTCGTGATCTACATCAGTAATGGCGACTCGATTTTGTTTACGTTCTTCCATCTCGTGTTCAAACATTGCAGCGAACACGGGACTTCTCGCTATAATAAACAAAAATTATTGTTATATTATATATTTCATAAAATATGAAACAAAATAAAAATTAACTATATATTTAAAATAATATGATTCATGAAATAAATATTAATAATGTATATAATTACCAGCAAGTATAGCTTTATGTGCTTGAAATTCTCGCCCACTAACCGAAAGTGTTACATCACTAAATTTTTGTATTTCGAATAAATTGCCCAAGTCGTCCGGTAAACGACATTCAGGCACTTTAAACTGAACCGAATTGGACTGGCCGGATATGTTTACACTATCAGCTACAACGCTTACCTGCAAACGAGCCATCTGTCAAGTCATTATTCGTGCCACTTTTTATTAAACTACAATTTTTACAGTTATTTTTCCCATTGTATTTAATATAATATTGGCAAAAATATTTTATCGAGCAATATTAGTAGGTAAGAATAGTTAAAACATCATTTTATTTAAAAACTAATTGTTATTATTAAATTTAACAATTAAAACTACGAGTAATTAAAACTAGTGGTAACAGTTAAATATTTTCAAAAAAATAAATTACCTCGCAAAATATGGTAAGTTTGTCGTCGGGTAAAAGGCCATTAGCCTCATCTAATAAAAAATCGCGTCTAATAAATTTTTTGAACCCCCAATCTTTTCCTTGAACGAACCTATAAGCTCTCTGACTCTCTAAAATCAAAAAATTTAAATAAGCAAAGGATCGTACGCAAAGCATTTAATTAATTACCCATAGCCTTGGTTTCTTCTCGTTTAGCGTTTAATATTGAAAATTTGAATTTTGCTCTAACCTCAGTCTTGTTGCATGAGACTAGTAATAAATACAAAGACAGGTAGTCTTTGCTCTCTTCGTCTAAGCCTTTAGGATTTACTCGCAAACACCTAAAACATGACATAACTCAGGCATTAGTTATTGTTTTAAAAAAGTAAGAAAAACTTCAACGAATACAAAATACAAGCGTGTTTACCATTTGAGTTTATCATTTACTCCAGCAGAGAATGTAGACGATTTTAAAACTTCACCCATTTCTTCCCGACAAAAGCTGAAGTTATTAATGGTCCACATGTAACTAAACTTTACGACCTTCACCTGAAAAGAAAAAATATTAAAATGTATACTAAAAATACATTAGCCACATAATTATTGATAACAAAATTATTTTGCTTATGACCAATACAAATGGTTCAGATTAGTTGATTTTTTTTAACAGCGACGGCAAAACAACAATCGTTGCTTATCTATTAGGCTACATTAATTTCATAACAATATCAATAAAACATTTGAATTTAACGCCTTGACCCAAATTTAATTATGCTGTTATAAACATTAAGTCAATTTGTAGAATAACATTTACAATATAATTTTATTAAGATTTTTTTTATTTTGAACAATTTCAAACTAATAGTTTGGATACAAATTATCATGCAGTCAAACGTTGTCAAAATATTATTAGTAATTCGAAACGACTAGAAATATGAATTCAATGAATATTCCGAAGTTAAAATTAGTATACAAATTGTTTAATATACATTATTGCACCAAATAGTGTGAGACATATACATTAATATATTATGATCCAAAATTATTATAACCAACAACCAGTATGTGTATAAGTAATACAAAAAAAAGTGTTATGGTTTCCTAAACATTTTCTAAAATAATTACACGTTGATAAAAAATATAACATTTATAGCCCACGATATTAAAGGAGCACCTCTATCGATAACACTCGAGTACTACACAATAACTTATGAAAAGAAACATAGACCTATTATCTCATGGACGGCGCATAGAGAAACTTAATTTAACACTGAGTGAGAGAGATGGACGAATACTCGGGACTCAATGAAAGAAAAACTTGCATTGTTTTCATAGACCTATTATAGATAATAGGTTATATGTCTACGACTCTAATTATGAGAAATTTCAAGTACATGGAGTAATACAGGTTTATTGTTTTTTAACCCATTATATTTCCGACTATATCTCTCACTCAATATCTTATTTGTTAAAAGAACAAGAGGTGGGGAAAGTGCCGTCGATGAGATAATAGGTCTATGAAAATAAATATATTTATACATCAAATGTATAATAATAAATTGTGTTTTGCTCGAGAGATAAATGAAAGAGGTATAACGGTCAGTCAAAAAACATTTAATTAACATTCATCATAACAAATATAATAATTTGTATACGATTAATTAATTAATGTCAAATAATCAGTCAGCATTTAGTCGTGGTTGAGTACAATGATAAAACGCGTTTGATTGGAAATGCCGTCGGTTTTTTTAAAACTTTTCCAGTGAATTTGTGTACTTATATTTTATACATGATATTATAGACCGATTGTAGCGTTAAATCAATTTGAACAAAGATGGCAATGCGCGCGGGTTTGGGTGGGTGGTGGTGGGTACACCACACAAAAAGGGCCCGAAAAACGTCGGAGCGACCTTGACAGCTCCGAGCGGTTATAGTTGGGGTCATCCTCTGCCACCGAACACACCAACCGGAGCGACAGCGGTATAGAGGGAATGACGAGTGAAGAGGTAGGTAATACAGCGCGCGCGCCGCTGCATGTACGGTGAAGAAAAGAACGCCGGTCATCGGCCCCACCCCCTCATCATAGCGCTTTTTCTTTCGGGCCACATACATACACACACACACACACACACACGTGCACGCATAAGTACACACACATTCAACTGCACGCGCGCACACAATCGGGTCCAACGTTCCAAGGCCAACGTACTCAAAATGCACACGACGATGATGACGACAACGCGACACTACCGTTGACCTTGCTGGGCGGTACTATCCGGTCGGATAGTAGGGATACCGGAAAGGCATATTATTGTATTCGTAGTGTATCGGATATGTATCTACTACTAACACCACTACTACTTTTACTACTACTACGAATAATACTACCACTAGACACCACAAGCGTTTTAACAGACAGCCACCTACGTGTTGTTCGCGCAAAATCCCACGCCGACAGGAAATGTCGAGAAATAATAGGTATCCGTTGAAGGGATGACCAATCTTCCGATTCGAATACACGTGGGAGATGAGTTAGAATCGTGAATTGTGTATATTTTAGGGAGAGAGGAGGTCGATGACCGACAGGTCGAACAGGGGTTCGTAAACGTGTTGCAGTTGGTGCTATACGCTCCGAGTACGTTTAAATATAGTTTAGACACAAAAGCAAGATGAAGGGTGTGTATTGTATTTCTGTTTGACACTCATTCATCACACATACGTGCACCAGCGTACACATTATGATCCGCTTGCTAAATTAGAACACGGTATTATATGATATAATAACGTAGTATTACAAATGGGTGTAATTATTTTATTTTTCTCATGACCTATTGAAAATGGAAGGAGACGAACTTTTGAACTCGAACTTTTGGCCTTTGGGCCCCCCCCCCTTTCGTGAAAATTGCTACGGCGGATGGTGGGGCGCGGTTATTGATTCAGCTGGGGTAAAGGGGAAGGTGGGATCCGCAGAGTGCAAAAACAGCTTCGTCCGCACTACCCTCTCCTTCCCAATTCCACTTTCTGTACGCAGGGCACGACGTGAGGTTCCGAGCTCTATCCTGAAGGGTCAGACCCATAGTGCGCGCGAGATCGATCCACGGTCGTCGCCGCCGCCACCGCCGTTGCTATCGTCTCTACACGCGTACACTTTAGGCGTTCACGTACATAACCTCCAAAACGTACGTCCTTGAGGGACACGTGATACCATTTTTAACTCACTATTTTATACTATTTTTAAATTAAATAATAAATATGTGTACATTTCAAAATAGGAAAATCGACAATAATATAACAATTTATAGAATTTTGTTTTGTTCCTTTTTCAATATTTTTTTGTACAAAACATGTAATTCTATTTAAATGTATACTTTGGGACTATGGTTAAAATATAATGATAATATAGGCGTGGCCGTCGCCATCAAACGGAGGCCAACGGCTTCGGAGGTCCGATGGGCCAACGAACTTCGCTGCCCGGGAAGCTGTTTCGCACACGCACACGCACGAATACATACACATACAGAATATCCAAGGGTAAGGACGTTCACCTGGCTAGCAGTCGTTGTCGTTGTTGAAGCGTACGTCCCAGGCGTTTATAACGGGAGATGCATTTTCTCGGAGACGCAGCAATAATAATGACCGGTAACGACACAATAATGAAAATAATAATAGAGGTAATAAGGAATAACATTACATTTTCGCGATAATAATCGCCATTGTGTGCGAAAAAAAACCAGTTTGGTTAGCGAGTACCGTTTTTTTAAGCTCCTATATGTGCCAAAATATTGCTGCGCTCGTCATTAACGTCGGCATATCTTAAAATAATATCATAAAGAGTTTGGCGAGTCGTGTATCAGTAATACACGACTCGCAAATATTCTTTAAAATACACTGTATCACATTAGTAGCTAGTAAAAGGACATCCACAATACATTGCTATATTTAATTCAAAGGGTTGGTTTTATTGTCGTACCTGTGTATAGCACCAGTTTTCCGCCACGGGTGTATTCGCCTCAGAAGAAGGAGGCGGGCTGGGCACCCGGGATACGGACATGGTACTACTGCTAGGTGCACCGGCCACGACGGCAGCTGCCGCGGCAGCCGATGCTGCTGCACTCACCGATCCCGACGAACCCGCCGCCACCGACACTCTGGCTGTCTGCTGCGGCGAGCACTCACTCACCACTGGCAGCCTGAAACAACAAAATAACGAATATTGTTAGTTTATTTAAATCAGATCATATATTGTGTATACGTATAAACATAGTATATTATCTTATAATAATTCATGTGGCTTATTTGTTTATTTAATAGTTTACGGGCGAAGTACTTATTTAAAATAGCAATACATTAGTAGATCGTTTCAGATTGTAAGATCTTATGTAATAGAGTTGTTTATGTATTCAGACGTTTACAGATAGCATTACGAACGATGATCAAAAATTAAAACTAATTTACTACCAAAAATTTAATTAGTAACATACAATTATAATAAACACTTTATACACTTTCTCGAAAAATTATTATCGTCACAATATAAAACATAAAACCAGTATTATTTTACGTTTACACAACTGAATAAAAAACACATGACAGAAGATCAAACCATTATATTACATTTAAATTAATTAAATAATCCAAAGATTTGCGTAATTCCGAGTGGCCCGGAGGACAAAATGACTGATTGTACAGGAGACGAGCGCAATCGTGCCTATAGATCAAAATTGATTATTCAGTGGATCCCATGTGTGATCAGACTCGTTCTCACGGACACAGACATTTTAATGTATAATGTTTAATACTTATTCTTACATTGCAAATAACTAATAACTAGCATAGGTATGAAATAACACTGGTGCTTAGTACGTCATTTTTAATGTAAAAAAATATGACACATAATATTTATAATGCGTTCTCTGATTGTATAGGAGACGAGCGCAGTCGGCACTATGGATCAAAATTGATTATTCAGTGGATCCCACGTGTGACCAGTCCGTTCTCACTGACACAGACATTTTAATGTATAATGTTTAATACTAATCCTTACATTGCAAATAACTAATAACTAGCATAGATACAAAATAACACTGGTGCTAAGAACGTCATTTTTAATGTAAAAAAATATGATACATAATATTTAGAATGCATTCTCTAACAAAATAACTCAAATATGTGTTTGTATAAATACATTTCATGCAATCAATTTAAAATATAACTCAATTGTATGCTTGAATATTAAGTTCTTAAAAATATGATTAATTATATTGGCTATTGAGCAATACAAAAGTAGTATTTGCTATTTTATTTAACCTATACCCATATAATAATGCTTAATGTTAAACAATTCATTTACTAAGGTAAATTAAACTATTATACCAAAGGACAAGGAATAAGTAAGATTTGAGATACAGAGACGTTTGTTTTCCTAAATGAATACTCACTTAAGTAATAATAGTAAATTAAAATATTTAATCATTTAAATCTTAACTATTATAATATTATAAAATTGCATGAATCTAGGGTATATTTTCATAAGGATAAAATATATTAATATGTAGAAATAAAGAATAAAAACAGACTCATATTATACATATTTCTTAAAAAAAATCAAAACCCAAGAGCATTTAAAAAACAAGTTAAAAACATAACAAAACGTGTATGTATGACTGTGTTTGTATGCATGTGTTTTGGGCATTAATTGATTAATTTGGATATTATTATTATTATACTAAAGTTAAACATTGGTTTTAACTTTAAGTCACTTAATATTATTGAATTTAGATTAAAAAAATTTGATACTATAAATTGTAACATTTAATTTTTTATATTAAAAATAAATAATAAAATATTTTTTTAAATAATAAAATAATACTATGGAGAATTGTTAAAGTTCCAGGGGGAAATTTTTACGCAAACTAGAACATAAATTAAAATAGACTAGAGAAATGTATATAAACCCTTGTTTTAATTGAATACTACTTAATTATGAATTAATTTATGGCTGTTATAATATAACCTACTATAGTATTGTTATAATTTTTAAATTATTAAACTATTAAACTTAAATCCTTCTTAAGAAACTATTAAAAACTTACACTTTGGCAAGCGGTGTATAAAATAAATCAAGTTATTTTATAATCTGAAGAAATTTGTAGAATTTTTTTTTTGCAAAAACTTTATTAGACGCTCGAAATAGAAATGGGCGACGAAAGAAAAGTGCATAATTTTGCTAGTTCCTTTAGTCCTAATTTTATTTACACATTTAGTTTTCTGTTCACAAGCCAAGTTCTACAAGCATTCTTCATACTTAGACACTAATATACATAAGACGACGCCAACGGCGCGTGCACGCGATGGTGGCCCCTGTGGGAGAATATAATATTGGTCTTGGTCCAGAAGTCATTCACCTTTTAACTATAAGCCAGCGAACTGTGAACGGAGTCGGAGTGAAGAGGATGACATCCCGATGAACCGGTCGGTCTTTGTCCGCTATCGCTGCCACGCGCCCGGTCAAAGACATCCGGGCAGTTCACGTAAAGATTCTTTGGGTTCAAGAACGTACAACGCCATCAAGATGGACCAATACTTAATGCTGGGGCTTCAGTTCGGCAACATCGGTGTGTTATAGTTAACGTTTAATTCATGTCATATTGTTTTATATATAAATGTAGCAACATCCATCATAAGAAAATTTTTGAATCATACCTTCTTATGATTTCCAATAATAACAATACTATTAAATAATTTAATATTTAATGATATAGTACAATCTATTATACATGATTGTAAGTAAATAAATTTACAACAAAAGAGTAAATTACTTATTTGCATAGGATCATCATTTAAAAGTATATTACAAATTAAATTATAACTGATTACATAAAACCGTGCGCGATTGGAGTGGTTTAGAAAATCGAGAAATCGTGGAAACTCTGTTGCTGGACAGGAAGACTGGCGCCTAGGCAACATCAGGTGAAATCAGTTGTCTAATTATTGTGTTATAAACGCTGGAGAAACGATTAGAAAGCAACGGATCACGAATGCAAAACCTATATCGAAAATGGCTGCAAATTGTTTTATGTGTAGAAATTAGACAAACAATATAACATGTAGATTAGATATTAATCATAATGTTAACAGTAATCATTTATTAGTTCAATTTATTTTTTTATTAATATTATCATGAACAATAAACATTCAAAACAAAATAAGTATAAGACCTCGTATAAGGATAAGTTGATAATAATATTAAAGTTGTAATTATTATTAATAATATTTTGTTAGACCTTGAAATTAAAGAAAAATTTTGATATGCTGTAAAGAACTTTTAAAGTAACATACATTAAGCTTGTAAATGGAAACTGTCAACTTTATACTACTGATTAAAACCTGTTGCGTTTCCGTTAACTACATGCGGATATTAAAACTACATGCCGTTATTTGTGCCGGCGGCATGACTGCGGTTAGCTGTTTTTTAGTCGTGACGGTACTTTAGGTAGTTGTACATATGTTTTATGCATAATGCGAGATATATAAATACCGCCACACAAGGAAACCAGATTAACGGTGCAGGCCTGCTTAAGAGATAGAACGATAATAATTGCTCCCTCTGTCCTCGATATTATGGTATTATATGGTTAACGTCAATAACAGTGTCACACTATTATTTTTAAGCCTTTACTGGAATCAATTAACATTACTGTTAGTTCATAATAATTATTATCACGTACAATATACAATAGATATCTGATATTATTTTTATTTAAATTCAAACATTTAAGAACGATAAATGATAATATTTATTTAAGGTAATAATAGTAAGATAGAGGAATAATACTATTTCAAAACAATTTTATTATCTTAGATTAAAATTAATAACAAAAAGTAATAATAACTAAGTAAACTCAAAACATAATTTTACTTCTAGAATTAAATGACTCTACTTAGTAGGTACTATTTTAAAGTTCTGAATGACATACATATTGATGTGGTTCAAATTAATAAAATAAATATTTTTGATTTGATAACAATAGTATTATCGTCAATAAAAATCAAACAAAAAAAAAAACACAGAAATTATTGTTAAAAATTGTAATTAAAAATTATTTAGTCTAGTTATTACAAAATGAACGCGGACGTTTATCACTCATGTATTGTTTTGTAAATTAAGAGTAATAACAAAATATGAAAATCATAGACGTTCCTTATAAAATACATAGGAATATAAGCAATTGAAATACCGCATTGACAGTTTAAAAAATAGCCTACATATACACATACGACCTGCAAAAACTGTTAAATTGGAACAATGCAACATGAACCGGTTGACGTGACTACCTCTTTAGCGGGTCAAGGAGCTGACAACGGACTAGGGCGAAAAACGTTTGTACATTTTACACATTAAATAGCACATGGCCTCGTCGCATTTGAACCTCCTACAATTTATATATATATATGTATGGTATATATAGACACATATATACATGACCCATTACTTCCTTCCTTTCCAACACATTACGTACAGTTATCACCTCGGTGGCCCCATGAAATAATCGATAACACCCTAACCTCAATCCTTAGTATAGATATTTGTGATACTGATGCTCATAAGTATACTAAAAATGTACCAAAGAAAAATTAATTTTCATCAATTTTAATGAAATATTGTTAAATATGAAACTTTTTAATTATGATTGAAATTATTGTTCTTGTTCAAGAGATTAATTAATTAAAATAAAAGAAAATGCAAGCTGATATTAATTAATAGCTATTTAAAATTATTTTGTTTGTCCTTTAAGCAATAATATAATACATACAACACAATTTTAATTTACTAAGTTTAAGCCATGATATTTCAAATATTACACTACACAATCATTTAAAATATAAAAAGTAACTAAATATATAGTTTTTAATCGATATCGAATTATAAAAATCAATAAGATCATTTTTATAAACCGATGGGAAATCCTAGGTTAGCTTTAATACCTAAAAAGTATACAGATTATAGTTATTAAACAAATATTAAAGACTGGAGTAAAAATGGCTCCATTAAGAATGGTATAAATGTAAGTAACGAGCATTTTAGAGAGATGAAGTAATCTTGATGATTATTTAGACTTATATACTTATAGATAAGTAACACCAAATAAATAGTTCAAGGCATATAGGAAGTAAAAAGTTATATTTAATT